AAAACTTTTATACAGATACTCATGAAACAGTTAAAAAGGAAAAATGAGAGCTCAATGGATAAATTAACAAAAATGTGATGATATCTATACAGGAGAATATCATTTAGTCACAAGAAATTGTAGATACACTGATAGCTGTTACAGCATGGATGAACCTTGAAAACTGCATGTTACGTGGAAGAAGTCAGACGCTGCAAAAGGCTACATTTTTTATGATTCCATATATATGAAACTCCACAACATAATGGTTTCCAGAGTGGAGGAAGGGTATACAAGGTTTCTTTCCAGGTGATGCAAACATTCTGGAATTAAAGAGTAACGATAGCTTACAACCCTGGGAATCTTCTAAAAATCACTAAATTATAAATGTTAAAGAGGATAAATTTTACAGTATGCATTTTATCTCAAATGTTTAAATATCTGAAAAAAAATTGTCAAGTGAGATAAAGGAACAGAAAGGAAAGGGTTTGCTCTTTTGGACAGAGTGGTCACGAATAAACCTTAGCTTGAGCAGAGACCTGTACAATGTAAAGAAGTTATCCATGCAAATACGGATAGTGTGGAGGGAGACAGAACATTCCTGAAGGAATGAAAACATAGACATGTGCCTACTTTCAAAGAACACCAATAAGACCAGCCAGAGTGACTAGATGCATTGAACAAGAGGAAAGCCTGTGGGAAGCCAGGGTCCAGGATGTGTAGAAGCCTGTAAATCACAGGAAACACTGGACTTTACCCCTTCATGGCAGAAAACCACAGCTGCCAGAGGCAATGTGACCTGAGACACATGATGAGAGGGTCTTCTTTCCTGCTAGGTGGAGGATGAACAAGCAGCAACAGTAGAAAGAGAGAGATCTACATTACAAAACCACTGCAATGTCCAAAAAAGACAAGTGATCAGTTTAAAACCTGCTGAGGAACTAAGCATGATAACTCAGTGGCTAAATCCTCACCTTGCAAGTGCCAGGATTCCATATGGGGTTGGGTTGTGTCCTGGCTGCTCCCTTTCCCTTCCAGCTCCCTGCTTGTGGCCTGGGAGAGCAGCCAAGGACAGCCCAAAGCCTTGGGACCCTGCACCTATGTAGAAGACTCAGACCCTGGCTCCTGTCTTCAGCTCAGCTCAGCTCTGGTCATAGTGGCCACTTGGGTACTTAACCATCAGATGGGAGATCTTTCTCTGTCTCTCCTCTTTATAAATCTGATCTGCTTTTCCAATAAAAATCTTTAAAACACACACACACACAACAACAACAACATACTGAGGTTAGAGTCAATAAAATCTGCTAATGAATCAAATGGAATTAGAGAGAGGAATGAAGGATGAACTCAAGGATTTTGGTCTGTGTGGAGGAGTAGATGTAAGGGTCATTTAATAAGAGAAAGCCTGAGAGAAGGAGTTTTGGCACACAAACCATAGTTCAGCTCAGTTCATTTTCAATGTGAGCTGCCTAACAATGTGAGCAGACATGAGTGCAAGACTGAGTCAGGAAAGTGGTCAGGCTAGAAGTGCACATCTGAGAGGCACAGAAGTTTGAAGTCTGTGACAAGAGAAACTAGAAAGTCTAAGCACTGAGCTTTGGAGCACTCTAGCATTTAGCTGTTTGGAAAAAAGGTTCACAACAATACTACATATAGTATGCTTCATGTTATTCTTCCAGAATTAAGTGATCTGTTGGCTGAAAGTTCCTTCAAGGGGTCAGCACTGAGGCATGTTGGATAAAGCCATTGCCTGCAATCTGGTCAAGTCTCAGCTGCTCCATTTCCAATCTAGTTCCCTGTGATGGTCTAAAAAAGCAGCAGAGGATGGCTCGACTACTTGGGCCCCTGCCACTTCCCTGAGAAACCAGAATGAAGCTTCTGGTTCCTGGCTTCTGCCTGACTAAAACCTGGCTGCTGTGGCCATTTGGGGAGAATATCCGTGGCTGGGAGATTTTTTCCCTCTGTTTCTTCCTCCTTGTATTTCTGCCTTTCAAAATAAAAATAAATAAATCTTTTAAGTTTTTTTTTTTTTTAAATTAAGGCTTCTCATAAGATGACAGGTTTCTTCTCTACAAATTTTTTAAAATCTCCTATTTCTTTGGTGCCAGCTCATGGGCAACAAAGCTACTGATGTACTGGGTTCTTTATTTATCTTTTAAGAATCATAAGTCAAACCTCTACTAATATCACACCAGAAAAATGACAATCCCAAAACTAATTTAGTTTGGGGCATAATATTTGATCCTAGAAGATCTGGCTTCCCTATTAATACAATAATAATTAGGTCTGCACAAATATGGCCAGAAACAGTCCTTGTCATCATGAGTAATCGAGAGCTACACAGATTTGTGGTGGATAGAGTCTTAAGGGATTATTTAACTCAGTGGGCAAGAAGTCTAAGCAAAATAATCAAACTGCCTAGGGTCGCAGCAATTGTGCAATGAGCACCTCAAGTTGTGAAACTCATCTATTTAAATAGTGAAAGCAGAAGGTGGTATAAACATTGATAACTTTCTAGTCTGAATAGCCTCAGCATGCTCCTCTTGAAAATAGAACAGTATCCATTTCATCTATTAATGATGAAGTAAAGTAAGGTGCTCTGTATATTGTAGCAGGCACTGTTGATATTATTTTTTACAGGGAACTAACTAGCCAGGTAAGATTTTAAAGATGTACAATAAGTGGTCAAATTTCAGTGCCATAAGGATTTTAAAATCTAGCTTAAGACTTGTATAAATTATACGAACATAAGGAAAATCATTACAAGATTATTTAAATAGTAAAAGATTACAAATAATTTGAATGTCCTTACATATCAATTAAACAAATTATAGTCCCTCTTACACTGGGCCATAATGCAGCACACACAAAAGAGATAATCCTACATACACTGATAGGACACATCTTCAGATGTTCCGGTCAGTGAAACTAGGCCAAATGCAGACCATGGTATACAGTTTGCTTCCATTTGAATAATAAGATACACATAAATAGGTGTGTTTGTATGCACATGAAAAAAAGATACAAAACTAACTCAGCATTAGACATTCTTTTTATCATCTGATTTATGTTTCACTCTTTTGTAGAATTTACTCAAAACAAGACAGAACAAACAAACAAAAAACCCCCAAAACTTTAGACTATAATCAGAGCTTTAATACTGACAAGATATGAAATAAAATGGACGATGGCTATTAGCTTCAATACACAAATAAGTTTTTTCAAATGAAAAAACAAAGCTTGCCAAAAAACAAATGTTACTTAAAATCTGCAATTAGGAGTTCACAAAAAATATGCATATTTTAAAATCTTACTTTTCTCTATAGGATCTAAGCAAAAATAAAGCCAATACCAATATTTTATCCATTTGAAAGGAAAATTAAAAAAAAATTATGATACCCAGTATTTGTGAATACGACATGCGAACGCTTACACTTTACTAAGAGTCATCTGCTACCCTCTAGTTTTGCATGTCAAAGCTTTAAAAAAAACACACAGAGGAGCTCGGCGCTATGGCCTATTGGCTAAATCTTTGTCTGGTACCACAGGATCCCATATGGGAGCCAGATTGTGTCCTGGCTGCTGCACTTCTCCCTACCTGTGTTCTGGAAAAACAGTAAGAGGATACTCCAAAGCCTTGGAACCCTGAATCCACATGGGAGACCCAGAAGAAGCTCCAGGCTTTTGCTTTGGATCAGCTCAGCTCTGGCCATTGCAGTCACCTGGGGAGTGAACCAGTGGAACACAAGATCTTTCTCTCTCTCTTCTCTGTAATCTGCTTTTCCAATAAAAGTAAATAAATCTTGAAAAAAAAAATGCACACAAACACCTTTATCTTATCCAGCAATGCTACATTTAAGAACTGAGTCTGAAGGAACAATGGACAATATGACATGTATATATCTACATGTCTCTTCTCACATGTGTATATATAAAACCTACATACATGGGTAGACACAGAGTAGTCATAAGGGAGACAACCCAATGTTTACCATTAATAGATTAGCTAATAAACTAGTACAACAACCACATACCTACTAAAATGTCAATTTCCAAATACTTACGAGTGTAGAAAAGATGCTTGTGGGGCTGGTGTGGTAGCATAGAATGCTAACCTCTATTAGTGGTGCCAGCATCCCACAGGGGCACTGGTTCATATCCAGCCTGGTTTACTTCCAATCCAGCTCACTATTACTGGCCTGGGAAAGCAGAGGAGTATGGTCCAACGCCTTGGGCACCCACACGGGAGAGCCAGAAGAAACCCCCGGCTTCTAGCTTCTGACTAGCCTAGCTCAAGGTGTTACAACTATTTGGGGAGTGAATCAGAGGATAGAATATCTTTCTGTGTGACTTTTCAAATAAAAATTTAAGTAAATCTTTTTAAAAAAACTGAAGTATTTATACATTCTTATCTTATAGGTGAAAAATATACCCACTGGAAACATATACAAACATATACCAAAATGTTAACACTGATTATTTCTTCAGGTTGATTAAAGAAGGCTTTGGCTTTTCTTTTTACTTCTTTGGTTTCTCCTCTCATTTTTGTTTTTAAATAATGAGCATGTATGTCTTTCATCTAAGGAGTTGAGGAAAAAGTGTTTTCATTCTATTTTTTCTTTTTAAGACTTAATTATTTTTATTGGAAAGGCAGAGTTATGGAGAGAAAGAGAGACAAAGAAAAAGACCTTCCTTCTGCTGGTTCACTTCCCAAAATAACTGCAATGGCCAGAGTTTCGTCTGCATCTCCCACATGGGTGCCGGGTCTCAAGGCTGTGGGCCATCCTTTATTGCTTTCCCAGGCCACAAGCAAGTGTGGGAAGTGGAGCAACTGGCATATGAACCTGTGCCCATATAGGATGCCGGTGTTTGCAAGCGAATTAGCCAATTGGGCCATCATGCTGGGCCCTTCATGCTAATTTTTCAAATGCTAAGAATTAAGATATCCCAATCAACATATGAAAAAAAAGGTCTGAGGAAGTTGTTTTCGAATCTAGCAATAAAAATACTTAGGAACTATAAAGATTAGAAATATTGCTTTATTGGAGAAACTTACATCCAAATTACTGTCATTTAAAAAAAAGGTCCTAATGAGCATTCAAAAAAAAGCACATACAGTTTCCACAGGAATAAGCACAAACAAAATGGGCCGATGACTGCCCCAAATGTTACTACCTAAGAGAAAAAATGCAATGTTCCACTTTCCTTCTCTTGAGGCAAAAGGTAACTGAGCTATACACACTATAAATTAGGTTTTCTTACTTTATAAGGAGGAAGAACTGAGATCTTCTTTTTGATGCATATTAAATATATGTATAAAATCCACTCTGATCATGATGAAAAAAAAAATCAGCCTTCAACTTTTCCACTTCTCAAGCAATGAAATCCAAAGGTCTGTTGAATCCACCTTTTCGGTTCATGTACTGCCTACGATGAAAAGAAAGTCGAGTGTTTATTAAAGGAAATATTCTAGACCTTTCATAAAAAAGCATAACAACATGCTTCAGAAAAGACATTTACAGGCCATCTTTAAAATGGTAAAGTTCAGGGCAGAAAATATTCAAGATTACTTCACATACATTAAGAAGCAATTACTTTCAAAATAACCAAACCCTTTCAAATTTTTTTTTTTTTTGGAAATTTCAAGTAACATTATGGATATACAGTTTCAAATTATTTGGTGAGATTCTACAGACCTGTGAAAGTACTGGATATATATATGTGTGTGTGTATGCACACATATGTATATATTTCAGAGAATTCTAAACAGTTTAAGGACACAGAGGGCAGTACCAGATGGGTATGCATCAAACAGATTCAATGGCACACTGTAATGGTCTTCCCTGTAAGACCCTAGATGAATTCAGGTAATCTCACAAAACACTGTCCATGATGGTGCTAGTACTAGAGCACACAGAATTCTCAAATCACATTATTGTTCAAATTAATTGGAAAACTAGTCTTTCATCAGTGGTAAAGCTGAAGTAAAAGGCAAAGCCTGACTAGGTCTTCACTTTTTCATTCATTAGGAATTTTGTAAGATTCCAAGTATAAGTGGGTTTGCTCCAAATCTGTGGTACAAATAAAATCTGCCCATACTTAATGGAAGAATGTATTTACTGCTGAAATATTGGCAGTCAATCCAGATACATTGCTCAGGAGCGATCTCTTTTATACCTGTAGTTACAATGACACTAAAGCCCAAAGACTTGAGAATATGCTTTTTAGAATGTGTTGGCCTGCTACTCCCTCTCCAAACTTATACCAAATAGGTAAGCTGGAAAACCATTTTAATAGACTAGAATAAAAGCAAGCAAAACAGTACTCCATCAAAGGACGGGGCATTTCCAATGAACATGATTATCATACAACATATTTTCCAAGGATAAAACAGATTTCTTCAGTTCCAACATATTACGGGGGACTATACTATACATACCTGTACTTCCTCTTCTGAGACACATTTATGGCATAAGCATTTACAGAACCATCCACCTTCTTTCCCTGGAAAGCACAATAAACATAAAACAGGAAGGACACATTATATGGCTGGATCAAAGATTTGGATGACGCACACGCACTTATAGGACAAGTGGTCATTTAGGCCGTGAATCACCAGACAGCAGAGCTCTGTGTGTATGTATGTATGTGTGTCCTCTGTTTTTCAAATAAATAAATCTTTTTTAAAAGTCTATGAATTCGGGCCTGGCGCGGTGGCGCAAGTGGTTAAAGGTCCTCGCCTTGCACGCCCGGGATCCCATATGGGCGCTGGTTCTAATCCCGGCAGCCCCGCTTCCCTTCCAGCTCCCTGCCTGTGGCCTGGGAAAGCAGTCCAGGACGGCCCAAAGCTTTGGGAACCTGCACCCGCGTGGGAGACCCGGAAGAGGCTCCTGGCTTCGGATCGGCATAGTATCGGCCCGTTGCACTCACTTGGGGAGTGAATCATTGGACGGAAGATCTTCCTCTCTGTCTCTCCTCTCTGTATATCTGCCTTTCCAATGAAAAAATAATAAAAATAAATCTTTAAAAAAAAAGTCTATGAATTAAAAACAAATACATCTGCTCATGAAAAAGCACCCAAGCAGAGCAAGACAATTTTCAAATTCCTATGACATCTCATGAGTTCCTAAGCATTACAACTCTCCACTCATAAAAAAATTTTTTTTTTAATTTATTTTTATTGGAAAGGCTTTCTATAGAGGACAGACAGACAGAAAGATCTCCCATCTGCTGGTTCACTATCCCAAAATGGCCACAATGGCTGGAACAGAGCCAATCTGAAGCCAAGAGCCAGAAGCTTCTTCTGGGTCTCCAATGGGGGTGCAGGATCCCAAGGCTTTGGGCTGTTCTCCACTACTTTCCCAGGACTCAAGCAGGAAACTGAATGGGAACTGGAGCAGTCGAGACACAAACAAGCACCCATATGGGAATCCGGCACTTGCAGGTAGAGGATTGGCCACTTGAGCCATCGGGCCGGCCACTCTCGCCACTCATTTTAACAGTCACATGTACATGGTATATGTATTTTATGCAAAGCACGCCTGAAGACAGGAGCCTCCATTTTCTACCCTGTATCATCACAGTGTATGTCATGGTGTTATTACCCCTATGAGACTGCCTTTTTATTCTTTTAGATTACTTATTTCTGGGCCTGGCACCATGGCTTAGTGGCTGAATCCTCACGTTGTATGTATCTGGGTCCCATATGGTGCCAGTTCATGTCCAGGCTGCTCTACTTCCCTTCTAGCTCCTGGCTTGTGGCCTAGGAAAGCAGTAGAGGACAGCTCAAAGCCTTGGGACTGCATGCACATGACATACCTGGAAGAAGTTCCTGGCTCCTAGATCCTGATTAGCTCAGCTTTGGCCATTGTGGCCACTTGTGAACCAGCATATGGAAGATCTTTGTCCTTCTCTCGATTTATTTATTTTTATTGGAAAGAGGCAGAGTTACAGAGACAGAGAGAGAAAGAGACTTTCTATTCATTGCTTCATTCCCCAAAGTGGCTACAACAGCCAGAGGTGGGCCAGACCGAAGCCAGAAGCTTCAGCTGGGTTTCCCACATGGGTACAGGGTTCAAGTTCTTGGGTCATCTATCAATGCCTTCTTAGGTGCATTGGTGGGGAACTGGATCCAAAGTGGAGCAGCCGGGAATCAAACCAGAGCCTACATGGGATGCTGGGGTTGCAGGCAGTGGCTTAGCATGTCATGCCACAGCGCTGGCCCCTGTAAGCTTGACAGAGGAAGATATCTGAGAGTCAGCCTTGTATTCTCACATCCCAGATCACTGTACTCATGCAGCTGTTTAGAAAAGGACTGCTATCCAGATGATCATCAATGGCTAACACCATCTCTCTCTCACACTCAGACATACACCCCTGACTTCTCTCCATTAGTACTCATGGGAGCAAAGCCTGTCTTTGTATATTAGATAGCTATTGTTAATGTCAAAAAAGAATTCTAACCCACTGATCTAAAGGTTACACAGGCAAGCTATGCACTTGAGATTGAGCAAAAATAAATCTATCTGGACTTACTTCCCTATATTTCCCTACACTTCCCTTGTTTTCCATTCTCTGTGAAGGTGGGGCTGATACTGGAAAAATTATCTGAGATATATGACTGTGACTTTCTAAAAAGACACAGGCAAGACTTGGAACAAACTGGCTTTAGTAAAAAAGGTTAACATCATTTACTATTTTTTTCCAAGTAAGATTCCTAAAGGCTGGTGGATATTTGGAAACTTTTCATAGAATTTCAAATTATTAGCTCTAGTTTCACTCACATATATGCTAGAACAGAAAATTATCCATTAATAAATACAATGAAATGATGGAACTTGCTAGAAGAAAATTAAAACAGAAGGGAAAATAAGTGACTACACTAGAATATGAATGAAAAGGTTTCACAGATTAACAATGAAATATCACAAAATACATCACTGAAAAACACAAATGAGTCCAGAGATTTTTCTAAAAATTTTTAAAATATTTACTTATTTATTTGAAAGATAAAGTGACAGAAAGAGGATAAGGTCTTCCATCCACTGCTTTACTCCCCACAATGAGCCAGGCTGAAGCCAGGCATCAGGAATTCCTTCCTGGTCTACCACGTGGGTGAGACAGGGATCCAAGTTGTTGAGACATCTTCTGCTGCTTTCCCAGGCACATGAGCAGGGAGCTGATACTTAAAGTATGTATTGCCAGCACTGCAAGCATCGGCTTAACCTGTTAACACGATGCCAGCCTCACCCAGAGACTGTCTAACATAGTCAGGAAGCCAAGTGCCTGTGTTGCCTCCATAGAAAATGCTAAAAAACTGACATTTCATCTCATAATCTTTTTTTTTTAATGGATTTTCACTGGTTTTTCCTTTGCAAACAAACATCCTCGCACTGACTACATTTAAAGGTACAAGGTGGGCACAGATCATGTGGTTCAGTGGTTAGCTAACATGCTGGTGGTCCCTTAGCCGAGTGCTTGAGTTTGACGCTCAGTTCTGGCTCTCGACTCCAGCTTCTTGCTACAGATGACCCTGTGAGACAGCACTATGTCTCCTGAATATATATTTATATTCAAGTGAATCAGGTTCTACTTGATTCTCAGGAACTTCACACATAAACTGGGATGCATAAAGTGGCACAGGGTAAGTTTTCATTTGCAACATCAAAATCCCATATTAAGGCAAAGTATCAGGCCCAGTGTGAGTGGTTCAACTGTCTAATCCTCCCTATATAAGCAATGAGATCCATATGGGCACCAGTTTGTGTCCCAGCTGCTCCACTTCCCATCCAGCTCCTTTCTTACCGCCTGGGATCCTGCACCTGTGTGGGAGAAAAGAAGATGCTCCTGACTCCTGGCTTCGAATCTGCTCGGCTCCAGCCATTGTGGCTACTTGAGGAGTGAACCAGTGAACAGATCTTTCTCTGTGTCTTTCCTTCGTTTTGTAAATTTGCTTTTCCAGCAAAAATAAACCATTCTTTTAAAAAAAAAAAAAAGTATAGTAAATAGCTGGAAGCAGAAGCGGCACTCTAGTGTATGTGTGTGTGTGTGTGTGTGCGCGCAGATTTATTTTTTTTTAATAATTTATTTATTTATTTATTTTTTATTGCAAAGTCAGATATACAGACAGAAGGAGTGATAGAAAACAAGATCTTCCATCCGATGGTTCACTCCCCAAGTGAGCGCAACAGCCAGTGCTGTGCCAATCCGAAGCCAGGAGCCAGGAACTTCCTCCAGGTCTCCCACACGGGTGCAGGGTTCCAAGGCTTTGGGTCATTCTTGACTGTTTCCCAGGCCACAAGCAGGGAATTGGATGGGAAGTAGAGCTCCTGGGATTAGAACTGGTGCCCATAAGGAATGCTGGCATCAAGGTGAGGACTTTAGCTGCTAGGCCAAAGCGCCAGGCCCAAGATTTATTTATTTTCACTGAAATGGCATATTTACAGAGAAGCAGAGACCCAGAGTAAGCTCTTCTATCAACTGGTTCACTCCCTAAATGGCCGTAATGGCTGGACCTGAGCTGATTCAAAGTCAGGAGCTTCTTCTGGGTCTTCCATGTGGATACAAGGTCCCAAAGACTTGGACCATCCTCCATTATTCTCTTAGACCATAAGCAGGGAGCTGGATGGGAAGCAAAGCAGCTTGGACACAAACAGGTGCCCATATGGTATGTCTGTGCTTACAGTCAGAGGCTTAGCTTGCTGTGCCACCATACCAGTCGCCTACTTACTATACTTCTGATCCAGTTTCCCACGAATGCACTTAGGAAGGCAACAGGTGATGGTCCAAGTGCTTGGGTCCCTGCCATCCATGTGGGAGACTAGGATGGAGTTCTCAGCTGCTGCCACTGGCCCAGGCCAGCCCTGGTTGTTGCAGCAATTTGGGGAGAAAACCAGTGAATGGAAGATCTTTCAGTCCCAATCTTGATCCCTCTCCACCTGCCTTTCAAATAAATAAATAAGTCAAAATAAATTTTTCTCCATTCTGCCTTTCAAATAAATGAATAAATCTAAAAGAAGAAAACAAAACAAGAGCCCAGACATCTATAAATGAGGCAATAGTGAAACCAAACCAAACAAATAAATAATTCCAACAAGTTCCTCCCTATTCTTCCTTGTTTTCACTTACAAAACACTCCTTGGAAAAACAAGTAAGACTTTGGCATATTCAAGGGGAAAAAAAAGCTGACACATAAACCACATTCAACCCTAAAATAGCGTTTATAAAACCATTTTGAGAACAAGAGTTTGTTTTTAACTTTCTTACCTCAAAACAGTCATGTCTCAATGCTCCGCTGACATTTTAAATTATGTGAACCCTACAGGAATACATCAGCCAGCAAGAAATGCTTAAAGATCTAACACTATTGCCCTCATGGACTAACCCAATGAAATGTAAGACCAGGGGAAGTGATAATTTTTCTTTAAAATCTCAATTTGCATTTGCAAAATTAATTGTAAAGCCTTAAAAATCTAGAAAAAGACAGTCTAGAAAGTACAGTCTCTCCCAGGCCTGGCACGATAACCTAGTAGCTAAATCCTTGCCTTGCATGTACTAGGATCCCATACAGGCACAAGCTCATGTCCAGGCTGTCCCGTTCCCCAGCCAGCTTCCTGCTACTGGCCTGGGAAAGCAGAGGAGGACAGCCCAAAGCCTTGGGACCCTGCACACACATGGGACACCCAAAAGAAGTTTCTGGCTTCTGGCTTTGGATTGTGTCAGCTCCAATCGTTGCAGCCACTTAGAGAGTGAATCAGTGGACAGATGATCTGGTTCTCTGTCTCTCCTTCTGTCTGTATATCTGCCTTTCCAATAATAAATATATAAATCTTTTGTTAAAAAAAAATATATTGGGGGCCCCACACTAACATAGCAGCTAAAGTCCTCTCCTTGATATGCACTGAGATCCCATACGAGCACTAATTCTAATCCCAGCGGCCTCGTTTTCCATCAAACTCCCTGCTTGTGGCCTGGGAAAGCGGTGGAGTATAATCCAAAGCTTTGGGACCCTGCACTCCTGTGAGAGACCCGGAAGAGGTCCCTGGCTTTGGATCAGCACAGCTCTGGCTGTTTAGCCGCTTGGGGAGTGAACCATAGGATGGAAGACCTTCCTCTCTGTAAATCTGACTTTCCTATTAAAAAAAAATTCTTAAAAAAAAAGTGTGTGTGTATATATATATGTATGTGTGTATATATATACTTATATATATTCTTTCCCAAAACAGTCTCACTCTCTCCTCCTCTCTAAACTGATTTCTTCTATCTGCTCTGTTGTTCTGTACTTTCTCTTCCACCCCCAATCTACCACCCCTCTCTCCCTCCTTTGTCCCCCTCTCCTCCCGTCTCCTCAGCATCATGAAGAAAGCCAAGCAGCACTGACTACAGTCCAGCACAGGGCTGGAAAGCCGAGGCCAGCTCCCAGTGTCATCTTTATCTGACAGTTAACTTCCTTCCTGCTGCTTCCCAGCAGCTGCCATCCTGTGATCCCACTCCCGCACCTGGGAGGCACAGGGTCTTCTCACTGCCCTTCCCACTTGGCCTGGCTCCTGAGTGGTCCTCAATTCAGGTGGAGCTTCCATGACCTTTTTTTGCGGGACTCAAGTTCAGATGGAATCCACCTCCCATCTCTTCTCCCCAAAGTCACCTTCCTAAAACATACGTGCAATCTTGCTTAAAACCACTGCTCCTCTTCTACACACTAAGAGCATTCCCTAGCACATTCTCTGGCATAATAAGGGCACACGAAGTCTGCCTGACCTCACTCCTACCTGTATTTCTGGCCTCAGTCCTACTCACTGGCACATCAGCACCCTCTGTCAGTCACTGATTTATAATTTCCATAACACTGTTAGTTCACACCTGCATGGCATTTGTGTAAGCTCTACCCTCAAATTTAAAAACATGTTTTAAAATGTATTTTACTTATTTGGAAGGCAGAGAAACAAAGAAACAACCTCCCATTCACAGGTTTACTCTCTGAACACCCAACTAGCTAGAATGGGGTGAGCTGAATCCAGGACTCCCACACAGGTGGCAGGGACCTGGTTGCTAGAGATGGCACTAATTCGTCTCAGGTACGCAGTAATAGGAAGCTGAGAGTAGGAGGAGAACTGGGGCTAAACCTCAGTTATTCCAGCAGCAGACGGCAACAACCCCAAGTGATGTTTAATTTCTTAGGCCACATGTTTGCCCCTTCCCTCTGATCATTTCTAAGTAGAGCATTCAAAAAGTCTGTGGAAAATGTACACTATGGAAGAAAAAATGCATGAACGTTAGATTTTTTTGCAGCAAAATAAACTTTTTCTTTTAAATAATTTTTATTTGAGAGGCAGAGGGTGCCAGCACAGGAGAGAGAAAAAGAGAGGGGCCCTTCCTACTACTGGTTTATTTGCACTGCGGTGGGGTGAGGCTGGGCCAGGGCTGAGTCTGGGAGCTAGAAACTCAATCCACCTCTCCCATGCAGGTGATGGGCAATGGATCCTCACCACTGCCTGGCGGTGGTGGCAGTAGGAAGAAGCTGGAGTCAGGGGGCAGGGCTGGGGACTGAATCCCATTTACTCCAGTGTGGGAGGTGGGCATCTTAACAAGCATCTTAATCACTAGGCCAAAAGCTCACCCCTAAACTCAACTTCCAATTATAATTTTTCCTGAAGTGCTCGAAGCACATAAGAACTTGCCTTTGGGACGTTACTCACTTGTCATCCCTGCCAAGCACTCTGGGTCCCAGGGGGGCAGTTCACTGCTCCCTCCTCGGTTTTCAGCTATTGTCTTACAACCAGAAAGTTTGATCAAAGGATACCAATGGCAAATGATACGAAAAGAATATGAAAATGACAGTTACAGTGGAGTCATTAAAATCAGAACAATTAGCTGGTTTCATACTTGACTTACTTTTGTGGAGTCAAAGGACGCAAACCCCATTAACTTCATCATTTCTATTTCTTCTTCTGTTTTGCCTTCCAAGTCTTCCTCTGCAGAAATAAATAAGCCATAAGACTCTCCTATCATGTCTACATGCATATTAAAAAAGAAAAAAGAATTGGTGGCAACATATTAACACTCATTCTACCACATCACTAAAGAACTCATAAAACTAAAGATAAATCCAATATAAAAAACGTCCAGGGTCAGTGCCAGCATTCGCTAGTGAAAGCATTTTTTTTTAAGATTTATTTTACTTGAAAGTTAGAATTACTGAGAGAGAAAAAGGAAGAGACAAAGAGAGAGCTTCCATCCACTGCTTCATTCCCTAAATGGCTGCAATGGCCAGAGCTGGGCCAGTCCAAGGTTGGAAGCCAGGAGCTTCTTCTGGGTCTCCCAAGTGGGTGCAGGGGACCAAGGACTTAAGCCACTATCCTGCTTTTCCAGGCTGTAAGCAGAGAGCTGGATCTGAAGTGGAGAGCCAGGACATGAACTGGTGCCCATATGAGATGCCAGCACCACGGATAAAGGATTAGCCTACAGTATGCTGGCCCCAAAACTCAACATTTAAATATCCCAAAGTCTATACTTCTAGGGGCAGGTGCTTGATGTAAAATTTAAGATGTTGCTTGGGATGTTCACCTCCTGCATCAGAGGATTCTGGGTTCAAGTCCTGAATGCAACTTCCTGCTAATGCATACCCTGGGAAGCAACAGATGATGGCTTCCGTGTTGAATCTCCACTATCCAAATGGACAATCCAAACCGAGTGAGTCCTGGGTTCCCAGCTTCAGCCTGGCCCACTCCTGGCAACTGCAGATACTTAGAGAACTTGCAGACGGCAGATCTGTGCCTGTCTGCCTTTCAAATAAAATATAAACAAATTTCTACAAATCAGACTTTCACAATTGTATCAAGGCTGAGGGTACTTAAACAAGGCTGCACCTTTTCTTCTGGTGCTATGGCTCAATTGGTTAATCCTTCCCTTGCAAGCACTGGGATCTTATATGGTCACTGGTTCATGTCCTGGCTGCTTCACTTCCCATCCAGTTCCCTGCTTGTGACCGGTGAAAGCAGTAGAGAACAGCCCAAAGCTTTGGGAGCCTGCACCTGCGTGGGAGACCCTGAACAGGTTCCCGGCTCTAGCTTCTGATCAGCTCAGCTCCAGCCATTGTAGCCACCTGAGGAGTGAACCAGCAGATGAAATATCTTTCTGTTTGTTTTCCTTCTCTCTCCGTAACTCTGCCTTTCCAATAAAAATAAATAAATCTTTGAGGAAAAAAAAAAGACTGCACCTTTTCTGGTTGATTTTATAATGACATTACCAGTAATCTGACGCTCTTTGTTCTTTGAGTCTTTGCTGTCCTTCTTCTCATCATCTCTCCTCTCTTTCAACCGGGAGGGGGACGGTGATGTGGACCTGTGTCTTCTGGGAGATCTATGATGGACAGGCAGCAGTGACAGAAACAGACACACACACAGGCTTAGTATTGATCAGCACCCACACACCAGAGTGTCTGCAAGGGGAAACTATGTATGAGCCAGGCTCCAGAGAGGCTGTACTCCATTCCCAGCTCAGCGTGAGGAAGAAGCTTCTGGCCAGGGCCTGGCTATTAACAAAAATCAACAGTACAGCCTACTACATATTAACTGCATCATCAGTTGTACTCATAATAGGTGGTGCTAGAACGCTTTTTGTGACACAGAAAAATATAACTTAAGGGCCCAGTGCTATGCTCTAGTAGGCTGGCCCTCTGTATGTGGTATCAGCATCCCTTTTGGGCACTGGTTCATGTCCCAGATGTTCAACTTCTGATCCAGTTCCCTGCTGATGGCTTGAGGAAAGCAACAAAAGATGGCCCAAGTGTTTGGGCCCCTGCACCTATGTGCAATTCACAGTTGAAGCTCCTGGCTCCTGGCTTTGGATTGGTACAACCCAGCGCAGGCCACTGCAGCCATTTGCGGAGGAAACCAGCAGACAGGAGAGCTCGCTCTCTCTCTGTCTTGTCTCCTCTTTTTGTAACTCTGTTTTTCAAATTAAAAAACAAAAACAACAATAAAAAAAACTTTAAAAAAGTCACATAACTTAAAAACTTCTAATTGAAGCAGCAATTGGTGCCTATGAAGAATTAAGACCCACTAGGGCACAGTGGGTCACACCACAGTGTGGCACTCTCACGATCCATATCGGAGTGCCTAGGATCAATTCTCACTTCCATTTCAGATTCATCCTCCTGTTAATGTGCTTGGAGACAGAGGATAACTGCCCAAGCACTTGGGTACTTGCCGCCCACTTAAGAGACCCAGATGGAGTTCTTGGTTCCTGGTTTTGGTCTAGTTAAGCCCTGACTGTTGCAGACATTTGGGGAGTGATTAAGCTCACCCAGGAAAGAGTTGTTTTGTCTTTCAAATAAATAAACAGAAAGCAAGAAGAATCTGTTTCTATGATTCTCCCAAGATCTTCAGTTCCATATTATTCACCCTGAACAAATTGTTACCACCAAAAGTTAGTTTAAAAAGTACCAAAGAATAAAATACTAAAATTTTTGTTTGTTTGAACTATTTGAAAGACACACAGAGAGATCTTCCTTTGACTAGTTCTGTTCCCATTGCTCGCCACGGCCAGGGTCAGACAAGGGCAAAGTCAGGCAGCAGGATTCAGTGTGGGTTTCACAGTGGCTGGCAGGCACCCAAGCACTTGGGCCATCATGAGTAGGAGGCTGGGCTTCTCAGCAAGGTTCCCCACGTAAGACACGGGCATTCCTCCTAGTGGCTTAGCCCCCTGTGTGACAACACCCACCCAGCGAAATGTGTATGTGTCACCTGTGCCAAGTGTCAGGCAAAGAAGGTTCCATGCATTCTCTTCCAGTTTAACTCTGTGATGCAGTGTCATTAACCCCGTTGTACCGAGGGTAATGCTGGCTTGGGCATGAAGTGGGATTAAGTGCCCCCCATTTCATGGCCAGAAAATTCTGTTACTGAGAACCACCAACCAACATGTTAAGGGGCAGTGCTTCAGGTACCTGGATCGCCTTCGGTGCGGGGATCGCGAGCGGCTCCTTCTCCGATCTCTATCCCGCGAGCGTGACCTTTCCCGGCGCCTGCGTTCCCTCTCGCGGGACGTGGAGCGGGACCGCCTGCGTTCTAACACAAACACACAGGAATGACCTCGGGCAGAGAAAGCCAAGCCGTGGCCATTGGTAAACAGAGACGGGTGGTGTGAACCCTAACGAGGGAGGCCGGCCTGGGAGCAAGGGAACATGGAAACAAAACCCAATGTCTCCCGTAAGACAGGTCCTTCCCCCGGCCCCCTAGTGGAAACCCGACGTGTATTCGAGGGCCAAGCACTGCTCACGCGCGGGTCTGTCCCGACCCAAGAAATTGGCCTCCCCGGTTAACTCTGAATACCGAGGGCTCGGGGGACATCTCAGCGTCTGCCTTGTGGGGTACCGGGGCTCAAACTGCTCCACCTCGGTCTCCCTCTCGGGAAACGGGCAAGAAGCCTACGTTCCCGGAGCATCTGTGGACCAGGCAATACCAGCTACTGAGCGTGAGGGTAAGGAATTCCAGCGAGAAAGGCCTGGGCACCTGCCCGCGGTCACCCACAAAGAAAGGGAAGGAACTGTGCTCCGATACTAACAAAAATTACTGTCCGCGGCTCACAACGAGCGGGCGGCACCCCAAGACACAGGAAACAAACAAAAAAACTCCAACTGTCGAGCCCGGGCTGAGGGGTGTGGGGCCCGTGTCTTCGTTCACGCACCCACCCCTCGCTCTCATCCTTAGGAGAAAAGGGAGCCCCTCTCTGCAGTCCTGATAGTGGGGGAAAAAATTAGCGTCACGCGTACGATAGGGGTTCCAGGCTCTCTGATTTTCTTCTGGACTCACCCCTTCGCGGGGAGCGGCTGCGGCTGCGACCCATTGGAAGTCCGGCTCCTCCTCACACCGCCCCGGAAGCGGCTGTGTAACAACTTCCGGGACGGGTAGCCGACTAGAAACCGTCGAAACGAGTTAGGAAAGTTCCGGTTTGCTAAAAAAAGGGAGGCTGCGCGGAACCCAGCTTGATCCACGCGGTTCCGCCCCGGATGCGGCCGGCTCTGAGCCCAGAGATTCTGCAGGAGGGCTTTCAGAGTGCTCCCTCTTCTTCTGGGTCCCCGGTGGGCTTTAAAATAGTTCTGCTTGATGCTACGATAGGAGGTGTCTGGAAAATTAGATCGTACACCCAACTCTCCGGCTTCACCCCGTATTTCTTGTCTTTGTCCTCATGCATAAAATGCATTCTATCTAAAAATAGCATGAGCAGTTTATGCTTTTCAGCTTTTTCACATAACATTCTCTTGTAAGGAGAGAAAAGAATCAAGTTTGCTGTCTGCTTTCTAGTTTCTCAGATGACGGCTTTGAACAGACAGGTATGAGCTGTTGGGTTTGTTTTGTTTTGTTTTTCCTTTCTCAAAATACCTACAGCTGCCACAGCCTGAGAATGACAGACCTGAGTGTCCACTGCCGAAGGGGGGGGAAGGTTGTCTGACCCCCCACAAGGGCCAAACCCTCCCTAGCTGAACATACATACACTCCATCAGAAAACATAACAAACTCTATTTTCAGTTAAACCAATTCTCTGCTAGCTCTCTCCAGGGTTGCCAAGTCTAAGGACCTGGCTTCTAACATATACAGAACCAGGAATACATTGGAGGGAGCAGGCCCCAGTCCCAACTTTTTCATTAGAGTCATCCATTCTGATGTCCCAACCCAGCTTCTTGCAGAAGAACCTGCTGGAACACCCCCTACCCTCAACAGGTTCCTTCAGAACTATTCTATCACAAGACATTTAAGGGTTGGCCTGGCAGGTTTTAGCAGCTGGCATCAGGAAGCAAGAGAAGTGAGTTCCAAGGTATGTCTAGTTCTCCGGGAGTGCGACCTGTGCACATGGCACAGGGACCTGCCTTTACAAGGGACCCCTGCATGGCACCATTGTCAGCTGCCACCACCCTGAAATCCTGTGGTTTGAAGTCCTTATGGAGAGGTCTGTGAAAGGGGGGACACCATATTGAGGTGACAGCTCCTGTCAGGAATGGTATGTGAGCCCTTTGCTAGCCCTGTATCATCAATTAAGAGGCGCTCTTATATATATAATACAAAATGTTATATATAATACATATAATAAGAACCTAATCACACTTCTGCTTCCAGGAAAGGAAGAGCATGAAGCTTGAAGTACTTGGTGAACAGCCAGGTGGAGGTTGCTGGCAGGTACGTGATTATTGGAAGCCTGGGCCTGAAATTGAGGAGAGAGGTGGGGGGGAGAAAGGAGAGGCAAGCCAATGACAGAGGGTTGGGGACAGGTGGGCTTCCACAGGAGAGAAAACCAAGCTATTTGTCAGATTCCCACATGCCGGTGAACAGTGTCAGAATTCACGGGTGTGCTATCTTGCGGAGGACTGAGAATGGTCAGTGTGCCAGGTGCAGTAATGCTCCCCTTCCTCCCTGCGGATGCCTGGGCCTTGTGAATGTTACCTTATGTGGGAAAGCTCGTGGAAATGTTAAGGATGGTGAGATAGGGAGATTATCCTGGACTGTACAGGTGGTGAGCCATAAGCGCCACCACGGATATCCTTGTCTCTGGCTTCCTAATGTAACTTCAAATAATTAAAAGTTTTTAAAAGAGGAGGATGCAGTGATGTGAGTAATGCAGCCAAAAAAATGGTGTCAAATATTGGTGATAGCCACCAGAACCGAAAGAGGCAATGAATGGATTCCTCTCTAGAAATGTCACAGCTAAGGAACCTGCTATAGAACCCCCTACCACATCATACCACTTATGTTGAAACCAAATCAATTTCTATTATTGGGGGACATGGGCAGTGTGGTTTGGAAGTGATTTTGCCATGATGGTGATGCCTTCCTGAATGGTGTGGTGGATTTGGCTGAGAGTTCCTCCCCTACCACATGAGATCACAGCAACTGGCCATGGCCATCGCTGCATCAGGAAGCAGGGTGTCGCACTTCACAACTACCTGTGTCTCGATGTCGGTTTCTGCAGTTAGATCTATGGAGAGAGGTGGACTGAAGATGTGAATTCGGAGTTGGCGGGATTATGAAGGGAACATGCTGTCAGGAGTCTTTTACTATCCTCTTGGAATTCACTAATTCTCAGAGGGGGCAGTCCCAGCAGAGGCATTTGTCAAAACAGAAAAGAAAAACAGCAAGTATGTTGAGTCGTTATCCCCCCACCTTACTTACTGCACACGAGGACTAGAGGAGGAGGAAGACACAGTTCTGCTCTGGAGTGGCTTGCAGGCCCACGAGGTTTACACACAAGTCAAGGGCATGCCGAGCACAACTGATGATTATCTGAGTGTGTCGGGGAGTGTCCTCAAGTTTCCAGAGAAATAATGTCCAACTACCTTCAGTATGACAGAATGAGAATCTTCCATTTGCTGGTTCACTCCCCACACGGCCGCCATGACCAAGGTTTGATCAAGCTAAAGCCAGGAACTTCATTTGGGTCTCCCATGCGGATGCAGGGTCCCAAGGCTTTAGACTATCTTCTACTTTCCCAGGCCACAAACAGGGAGCTGGTTGGGAAATGGCACAGCTAGGACAAAAACTGATGCCCATATGGGATACTATATGGGATGCTGGCACTTGCAGGTGGTTGAGTCACCATGCTGGTCTCAAGAATAATTCCCCCCCGCCCCCAATAATAAATTTTGAAAACTATTAATTGGGGCAGGCATTTAGTCTAGTGATCAAAACACCTGTGTCCAATTATAAAATGCTGGGATATGATGCCCAGCTCAGGCTCCTGACTCCAGGCTCCTGCTAGTGCAGGCCCTGGGAGGCAGCACTTAGGACTAAAGGAATTAGGGTTGTGCCACTTGCATGGAGACCTAGATTGAGTCCCCAGCTCTAGGCAGGCCCAGTCCCAGCCACTGCAGGCATTTGGCAAGTGAACTAGCAGATGAAAGCTCTTTTTTAAAATTGAAAATTTTTATTAACTTAAGTTCAGTGGGCATAGTGGTGCCCTAGTTGCTCTATTTTGCCTTGGTGTCTAAAACTGTTCACATATAACTGTTCACTGTAACCCTTTTGAGCCCACTTGAAATGAGATAAAAAAATTTTTTTAATTTATTATTTTTATTACAAAGTCAGATATACAGAGAGGAAGAGAGACAGAAAGATTTTCCTTCCAATGATTCACTCCCCAAGTGACTGCAATGGCCAGTGCTGTGCCAATCCAAAGCCAGGAGCCAGGAAGTTTCTCCAGGTCTCCCATGTGGGTATAGGGTCCTAAGGCTTTGGGCTGTCTTCAACTGCTTTCCCAGGCCACAAGCAGGGAGCTGGATGGGAAGTGGAGCTGCTGGGATTAGAACTGGCGCCCATATGGGATCCCAGGATGTTCAATGCAAAGACTTTAGACACTAGGCCACGGTGCCAGGCCCAAAATGAGATAGAATGTTAACTGCTAAACACCTTGGGTAGAAAACCAGTGGCTACCACTGTCTTTTACTTGTCTATCTTGCTGTTTCAAGCAAAATCCTTAAAACAAACAAACAAACAAACAAACAAAAGGTGGAGGTGAGGAGTGTGTTATATTCTTTGTTAATAATTTAGCACAGGGCCAGCACCATGGCATAGTAGGCTAAGCCTCCTCCAGAGGAACCAGTATCCCCATATGGATGCAGATTTATGTCCTAGTTGTTCCATTTAAGGCCTTTGAAAGCAGTGGAGGGTGGCCCAAATCCTTGGACCTTTACACCAGTGGATGAACTGGAGGAAGTTTCTGGATCCAGCCTTTGGATTGGCTCTGCTCTGACCATTGAGACCATTAGGGAATGAACCAGAAAATGGAGGGTTTCTCTCTGTGTGTCTCCTTTCTGTAATTTTGCCTTTCAAATAAAAATAAAATCATAAAAAGAAAACACCTTAGCATGAAATTCTAGAACATTCTTTCAAGAATATCATTATACTTAGAGATAAGCAAAAATAATTAACAGGCAAATATTATTTTCTAACCCTAGAGGTTAAAAACAAAAGAATGGCTTGTAGAGCTTGTAAGACAGAATCTTTCATATCCAATAGTTGACAAGATACTTACACAGGCACTGTAAGACTTTATTGAAAATATTCCTATTCAAAAAAACAAGCAGTATGCAAAACACATAAAAGGATCTGGCAAGAAAACAAAAGCAGATCTTTACTCTCACTGTGCTCACAATGACTGATTTCTCAACAAGAACTTCACCTACTTGCAGCTGAAGAAATAACTTTCTGCGCATGGATGACATAAGCAACTTGACCAGAAAAGAACCAACCGAAACTATATATAATTCCACTCTGGCCAGCTGATTTATATAAGTGAAATCAAATGGTTAATTTTACTCAATATGAATCAAGCTTTCATTATTTTCAAGATTTATAAACTTGATAATTTCATCTGTTATACCATAATGAGAGAGAGAGAAAAAAGAAACATCTCACGAAAAAGATAAAATTATAGCCATATATAAAAATAACAACTGTGGCCTTCTGATACAACCAAATCTTTATACTGGGAATATTTCAATTGCAGTTCTGGGGGTAGCGTGGATGGCATCTAAGTTTCCTTTGAGTTAAACCAACTGGGTGAATTCTGAGAGACTAAAAGCAATGTCTGAATCTACTGACATATTCCTGGGAAAGAAAAATTATCAGTGTATTCTAAACTTAAAAACTAGTTGGGAAAAATAACTTAATTAGAAAGGAAAAACATTCTGGTTTCAATTAAGTTTCTTTCGGTCCATTTTATATAAGAGCTTATTTATTTTTTTCCAAATGAACATTTATTATTTGCACAGATACATAAAAATGATTCCCATTTTTAAAAACATACTAAAAATATACATAAAAGTACTTACTCTGACTGGAAAGAAAATGAGCATGGCTATTTTCAAACAGTAATAAACACAAGAAACCAACATATATAAATCAGGACATGTGTACATGCCATTTTTGACAAAAATAAACTCTATTTTTACATTAATGCTTTATTATCAGCCTCTACATTAGATCCTCTGACCTTATTTACATTTACTGTGAAATTTCTGTTAGCATGTAGAACTCAAAGGCACTCAATTCAGAAGTTATAAAGTCCTGAGCTTAAGTAGGAAATGGGGTTCCCAACTAAAACTTGAGCATAAATAAGTCTAAGTATCACAGATGATGAAAATGTTAAAAAGTATGATATTTGCTACATAAGTAAGTCATAACCTAAGAAAGGCATACAGAATGTCAAAGAAAAGACCATGTAAGGCAAAGGACTATCCTATGAGCCAAACTGATTTTTCCCTTATTCAAGTTCATTCAAAGGCCTGAAGCTGATATTGATGGTTGAAATCCTAAGAAAGCTTTTTCAAAAACTGCATGGAAATGCTTACATTAAAAAAAAAAAAAGTTCCTCAAGTTCAAAACCATGAAAAAAAGTACTTAACAAATAAAAACAACATCCTGGAAATAGACTAAAATGAAAAAATCATAATGCGCAATGGAAATAATGAAAGGAGCGCTCTAACACATCATTTCAAAGTGTATTTCTAACTTGCTATTCAAATTATCCCTGCAGCTTTCTTTTAGCCAAATAACAACAAACTTACAGATGTGTAAATGAGATTCACCAACATTAAGCAGGTTCAAAGCTTAAGCGAAAAACGAAATCTTTACTTCTTTGCAGAGAAATGGGAAATTCACCTATAAGCAGTTTTGTGCTGATGCTAAATTATGACCTGACATCTTTATAACATAAACGGTTTGACATACTTTCTTCGTTTTAAAATGTTTTTTTCATCTATGCATAGAGATGTAATGAGGATAGGGATAATCTCCTGTATTGTCTGTACAGTTCGTAAGGCCTTTGTCATTGTTAGTCACCTTAGGTGTGGATATCAGTAGGGCCATTAAATTAAGCTGGCCTGCAAAAGTTTTCAAAGTGCTATTGTTTCTCTCTGACGAGATCCTCAGTTTTCTGGATTTTCTGGGTGAAGATTATTTTCAGTTCTTTTCTCTGATGATATATACAAGAAGTTACAGCAGATGTACAATGGGAACATCAGAAGCCTGCTGTCTAAGTTCATCACCACCTGTTCCTGTAAGACAGATTGGAAGATTAAATGACAAGTAGGTAAGAATATTACAACACGAATATAAATAAACCAATTGCTAAACTGAGTGACCTGAAGGAGATAATGTGGGAGTTAGTTCAGGGTCACAGCTCAGAACTTGCAACTCCCACCCACCAGTTGCATGACCTTGTCAGCTGCAGCCTCCTCAAAAGTGTGGACACTACAAGGGCCACCTTACAGAAGCAAGGTGCCGTAAAACCAGCTGGACAGTATTTCCTCAAGTATCTACATGTTTATGAACAAACGTGGTGTCCAAAAAACCACAATCTCACATGGCTTCAGTTTCTGATGGCCCTTAGGGATAGCAAAATCATTGGGTTTGGGGATTGGAGGGGAGTCATGACTGTCATCAACAAGTGGGCTCCATACTCAAGGTTCTTTCCAATTTCTCCCTGTCCATATAACAGACATGTTATTAGGTCTCCTGGAACATAACATGCATTATCATGAAAAGCAATTTCAACTTCGGTTACATTAACACCTGTGAGAATGTTCCAGACACACAGCCAAGAGTTTCCACCAAGTACCGAAGAACCCCAAGTACAAGCAGCACCAATGCTACACATACCCTTTGCCAGTAGTCCTTAGACAATTAGCCTGAAACATCTGTGATACTCTTTGTGCAAGCATAAGTATCATTTTTGCTTAGTTTTACACATTTTGGAGACAATACTATTAGCTACTGTCTAAATCCAGAGTTTAAATTTTTCTTTTTTAACCTAAGGCATGTATTTCAATAATGAAGAAAGACTAACACCTAATAGTTGTGTGGCTGAATCAGGCTCAATTAGACACAGCTTCTGAGTTAAGGCAGCAACACGAGAAATTTGTATAAAAAGAGTAGGAAATACAGATGGGACCCAAACAGCCTCAATCTGCCCTCCCCTCGCCCACCAAGAGGGCAGGTGGTATCAAAGGAAACACCAGTGAACATAATTAGGTGAAGCCACTACTTGGATTGTTGGTGTCAAGGTGATGGCACTGGCATTGAGAGGAAGGATGGTTAAGCACTGCTGACTTTTTAGTAAAATCTTATTTTTAATATTGTTTACATAATCAAGAGGGATGTACACCCATGTGGGCCTCTGATTAGGGTGGGGAGGGTTAGGTACAGAGTAAAGTGGATGGGACAAATGTTTGAATTTCTCCTGTGTCCGAATCCGGGAGGGGAGAGCACTCCTTGCTGTCAAACTATGTCAGCATGGGGCATTGGGGACGGCCATTTGATGACACCTTATTGAGATCCTGATGAGGGGAAGAGTATTCCAAGGGTGTTACTTGAGTGGATTTGATAGTTCTGAGATGTTGTTGGTTTCATTGCTCCAGCACTGAGAAAATATTTTCTAGGGTTGATAAAGTCCACCTTAGTGCATCCACAGAACAGGAACATGCTGCAAAGCTTGGCCAGAAGAACTGTACAATCTGTTCTGCTTTCCATCCTCTGACAAGGTACTTGACATCCCCTGCTGCCCTGGATGAGCTGGCCATCATGTCCTCTGTGTGCATCCGGGTATGCTGTCCACTGCACATGCATCAGTAAATGAGGAGGCTCAGTCCCAACACATGTACTCCAAGGTCAGACCACACGTTTTGTGATTTCTTTTTCTCCTATGGCTGGGGTCTAAGTCCAGCCATCAGTTGGGTAGTCCCCTAAGAAACTCTGCCTGGGGTGACCTCAGACTTGACTTTTACGTGTGCCAGCCTGTGCAAAGTCCGATTTTGTTAGCTGTACCAGCCGATGCATATACTGGTAGATGAAGCTCCCTGGTCAGTTCTGCCTCAGCCCTAAACCTCATGTGAATGAACAGGTGCTGTGGCCCAGACAAGCCCAGTTAATTTGCCACAGACTTGGTCCTCATCTTGTACATAAGTAAGTGTTACCCTGCTGAGAGAAGAGCAGCCAGTAGCTGGTAGACAGTCTGGGTCTGGTTAATGCTAAATTTGTGTTAACTATACCTGTATGTCAGCAAAGCTGCTTATTCATTTATTTATTTTTTTAAGGCTATGTAAGGGAGGCAGGGAATGCTGGGCGGGAACACGCCACTCCAGCCCCCCTCCCCCAGGTAGCAGGGGCAGGGGGTGTTGCTGCAAATTGCCCATGAAGGGAGTCTGGGGACATATCACTGCAGGAGCAACAGAAAATGTCAAAGGTAGAATGACTTCTAGGACCTGGCATGATAGCCTAGTGGCTAAATCTTCATCTTACATCCTCCAGGATCCCATATGGGTGCCAGTTTGTGTCCCAGCTGCTCCACTTCCCTTCCAGTTCCCTGCTTGTGGCCTGGAAAAGCAGTTGAGGATGGTCCAAGGCCTCGGGACCCTGCACTGCATGAGAGACCTAGAGGAGGCTCCTGGCTTTGGATCTGTTCAGCTCTGACTATTGAACTTCTATGGGGAGTGAACCAGTGGAAGCAAGATCTTTCTCTATGTATATCTGCCTTTCCAAAAAAAAAAAAAAAAAACTTAAAAAAAAATTTTCCTGGACCCGGCGCGATGGCACAGTGGTTAAGGTCCTCGCCTTGCACACCGGTTCTAATTCTGGCAGCCCCGCTTCCCATCCAGCTCCCTGCCTGTGGCCCAGGAAAGCAGCTGAGGATGCCCCAAAGCTTTGGGACCCTGGACCCACGTGGGAGACCCAGAAGAGGCTCCTGGCTTCGGATCAGCATAGCATCGGCCATTGCGCTCACTTAGGGAGTGAATCATCGGACGGAAGATCTTCCTCTCTGTCTCTCCTCTCTGTATATCTGCCTTTCCAATAAAAATAAAATAAATCTTTAAAAAAAAAAAAGACTTTTAGGATCGCCTACAGATTGGACTGCTGCACTTGCAGGTGGTGAGGGAGCTGAGATGGAGTGGTTTAGAGGAAGGAAACTGGAGGGCATGTGTATGGGTAAGACCAAGGCACCCACCCATGTGGGAGACCTAGGCTGAGAGCACCCCTGATGGGCTAGGCTGTAGTACTGGCCCAAGAATGCTGCAGCAGGGGTAGGCCACATCAGGCTGGGCCACAGCACCCACCAGAATGCAAAAGAACCAGATCTGTGGACAGATTCTGTAGGGGAATTGTGGAGTCACTTCTGTGGGACTGCAGCATCCACCAGTTTACATGGAAAACTGGGGAAAGTGACAGTCCGAGCCAGCCTGAACCTCAGAACTCACCTAACAGGAATCTACCTGACACCCTGGGAGTGGGGCTGAGAGGCCAGGTGGGGCCAAGCTGCAGCACACGCCGGCACATGCAAAAGCTGGGACTGAGGGCAGATCATGCCAAGCAGGGCTACTGCCCTTGCTAGCATGAGAGGGATCTGGGGTTTGGAGCAGGCCTGGTGGGGGGATCTTGAGGAACTTCCCTATTAGGGTGCAGTACCCGCTGGGGAACACAAAAGTTGGGGCTACGGATAGGGCAGGCCAAGCCAGGCCAGACCAGGCAGGGCTGCAGCACCCACAGGCATATGTGTGGGCAGGGTCAGTGGTTTTAGCTTTATCTGCAAAAATCTTTCAATTCAAATAGCATCTCTTAAGAATTTTCAGGAGTATTCAAAAGACGAAAAGAAAAAATGATACAACAGTAAGCAAACATACCTGATCCTTTTCAAGAGTAAGTATTTGATAGCCAGTCGTTCTACTACATACTAATTTTCCACTACTGTCAAAAGAAGCCAAACGTAATCTAGGATTTAATAAAAAAATAAACACTAATTAAATCACACATGAAATTTAAGACATGCTCTCCTTTAATATTTTTTCTCTTGTGTATTCTTTTGTATTACTTGATAAGCCTTTTAAACTGATTCCACTTACATTTACAGACCTGTCATATTATACTTAACTGATATAAAAATAACTTACAAGGGGCTGGCACTGTGACACAGCATCTAAAACCACTGCTTGTGGTGCGAGCATCCCATATGGGAGCCAATTTGAGTTCTGGCTGCTCCACTTCTGATCCAGCTCCCTACAAATGTGCCTGGGAAAGCAGCAGAGGATGGCCCTAAGTCCTTGGGTCCCTGCACTCATATGGGAGATTTGGAGGAGCTCTTGGATCCTGGCCCAGCTCTGGGTAAAACTGTGGCCATTTGCAAGATGTTTATCTCTTTCTCTCTCCCTCCCTGACTTTTCAAATAAATATATGCAATAAATGTAAAAAAATTATAAATGCCTTTTTTATTACGGTAAAATGTACATAAATAAAATTTGCTACTATAATTGTTCAAAAAACTTGAGAGGCTGAAAGAGAAAGCAATATTTGCAGGAGAGCTGCCACCCGCAGGTTCACAGTCCACATGTCTACAACTCCTGGGGTTGTGCTGGGTCAAGGCTGGGAACTGGGAACCCAATCTATATCTTCACATGAGTGGGAGGGACCCAATTACTTGAGCCATCACTGTTGTTTTCCAGGGCGCACATTAGCAGGAACCTGGAGTCAGAGGAGTCACAGCTCAGAACTGATCCTAGAGACCCTAACAGGAAACACTGGTATCCTAACCATTAGACCAACTGTGTGCCTCCAATCATTTTTAAGTTCAGAGTTCTGTAGCACTAAATACATTCACACTGCTCTGCAACAATCACCAGCACCCTTTCTCCAGAGCATCTTCATCTTCTTCAAATGAAATTCTAAGCATTAAACACCAACTCCCCTTTCCCCGGCCCTGGCAACCACCAGTCCAATTTCTGTTGTTATGAATTTGTTTGCTTGAGTTATATCACATGACTGAAATGTGTGACTATCTTATTTTACTCTGCATATTGTTTTCAAAATTTTCTTCCTTTTTAAAGACTGAACGATGTCTTGGTTTTATGTATTTTTCTAATTCATGTACAAGTTGCTTCTTTCTTCTGGCTACTGACAATAATGAAGCTGTAAACACAGTCCGCGCGTTCACTTCTTTTGAGTAAAGACTCAGAAGAACCACTGATTCATAGGTAACATATGGCTCATTTTTTCCCCCACAGTAAATAACCCTTACCATTTTCAACAATGACTATTCCACTTGGCATGGCTACACAATTATTCCACATCCTCACAAACAGTTTTCCACATTGTTTTTAATAATTGCCATTTCAGTAAATATTAAGTTGTATTTTGTTGTAGGTTTTGTTTCCATTTCCCTAACACTTAGTGATATTAAGTGGCTTTTCATGTGCTTTTTAGCTGTTTACATACGGGAATATGTTTGTGTAAACCTTATGCCCATTTTCAATCATTTATTTAAATTACGGAGTTTTGGAAGCTCTGTGTACGTTGTGGATGTCAGCTCCTCAGCAGATGCACAGTTTGTATGTCCTCCTGTTCCATGGCTTGCCTTTGGACTGCCTGACAGTATCCTTCGATGACTGGTGTCTTCAGCCCTGATGAACTCCCATTGCTCTGTGTTTCCTTTGGTGGCCTGTGCCTCCAGAGCCCAGCAAAGCAAACACTGACAAATGGGATGCAGCTCTTCTGTCTTCCAGTGAGTGCCCCACAGCGTCAGCTCTCAGGCTTGGATCTTTTGTACACATTGAGATAGTTTTTGTATGTGGCATAACAAAACTACGTGATTTGTACATAATCTGTTTATTCGGTTATTGTTGAATTTGCAAGCCTCTAGCATCCTCTCCAGAAAAAAAAAAATTGGCTGTTCAGTTGCTTGGCAAAGTTGGACATGTCAAATCCTATAGACAGTTAAGCATGATATCAGACATATTTTCCTAGAAAAACACCTTGCCATATTCTAATTTGGACTTTTTATAATAAGTTGACAACATCAAGCCCAGTTAACAATCCAATATCATTTATATTCTATTCATTCTGACATACCAGATCTTATGATTTATGTTAACAATACATCTTATAGGAATGCAGCCTTATCAGTTCCTAACACTTTCACAGACACCACCTGGTGGTATAAATGAGCAGCTTTATTTCTTACATTTCCTGTGGAGCGAGAAATGGGGTGGAGAGATTTCATCCTACCTAAATGCAATGCTCCTTCGAGGCTGTAAACTGACAGATCCACTGCATGGTTGGTTCAGCGTGTTGCGTTTGAAAATGATGTATCGATTGGTATACGTCACAAGCAAGTCAAAGCCAAAGTTAAAACCTGTCCACCGCCAGCAGTACTAAGAAATAAGAGAGAGAGACTCACTCCAGTTTAGTATCACAAGTCACAGAAAGGAAGTCATGAAATGGTGCCTATATGGGATCCTGGTGTGGGCAATGTGAGGATTTAGGTATTGAGCCGTAGTGCCAGTCCCAGGCTGTTCCATTTCTGATCCAGCTCCTTGCCAATACGTCTGGGAAAGCAGCCTATCTCCTGGGCCCACAGAGAAACCCTGAAGAAGCTGCTGCCTGCAACCTGGCCCAGCCCTCTTGTGGATGACTGACGTAGAGTGGAACACAAGGTCATGGGCGGAACGGGATTCTGGAGTCACCAAGACTGCTGACCAGAGTGACAATGAAGTGAGCTCATGAGTGCATGATGCCCGTGCTAGGTGGTATAGCAGATGCTTCTAAGGAGTTATGTGCATTGAGGGACTAAGGCAGACCAAGATCTGGAAGTAGCAATAAGGAATGGGGAACAAGGAGGTTTTCTCTTTCATACTCTGAATACCCACTACAATTATGAATATAAACATACAGTTAATAATTTTTAAAAATCAAAATAAAATGAAGGAAAATTTGGATAAAAGTAACTATTTAAAATAGACTGAAAAAATTTTTAATGAAAATGTTAGGGTGGAGTAACTGTAAATGTAATTAATGTCCCATTAATGGGTTGTAAAAATCAATGTAATGGGTCATAATAAACATAAAAAAATAAAATAGAAAGTAAGCTTTTGGGACACGGCTGCAGAATTATTTTAAATATTTTTCTTCCACTTACATACATTTGGATTGAGTGCTAACAAAAAAAGTGGCTCTTAATGTGGGTAGCAATCAAAGGTTTAATGTCTTAGGGTGTGTGTAAAAGATAATCACTTTTGGGGTTAGCATAGTGGTGTGTCAGGCTAGTCCTCCACTTGCAGTACCAGCATCCCACATGGGTGCCCGTTGTAGCCCTGATCATTCCACTTCCAATCCAGTTGCCTGCTCATTGCCTGGGAAAGCAGTGGAGTATGGCTCAAGTCCTTGGACCCCTCCATCCATGTGGAAAACCCAGAGGAGGCTCCTTGTTCCTGACTTTGGATCAGCTCAGCTTAGGACATTGCAGCCATCTTGGAGTGAATCAGTGGATAAAAATATCTTAAGTTCAATAGTCTCATGCAAGGCCAAGTAATCCATTGCCACTGCGTTTTGGTGACCAATTCCCTACCCAGGAGATCACGTCACAGATACAGAATAGCAAACAAACTCTCCAGAGGCATCGCAGGCATCATGATTGTTATTCAAGTGCGTTATCATTGACAATACTCCTACAACAACTCACATATTAACAACTGCAGCCCATACTTACTTCACCATCTTTGGCAAGCTTTCTACCGCATCTCATGCTGTTTCCCTCAAGTTCTTCTTTATTGATTTCTTGAGGCCTAAACGTATACATAAGACAGACTCTCAAATAGGCAACTTACAATGGCGAGAGAACTGAGTTAAAAAGAATAGAAAATTTTGCTACTAGATCTAGAAATACATTTAGGTATAGATAAAAAAAAAAATCACTGTATTGGCTAAACCTATCTCACTACCTTTGCTAAATAAAAATGATTTTAAATCTTCAAGGTTTCATTTTATCATCATGACTTCTAGTTAGCTTTAAGGCTCAAACTAGAGAAGGGGTAGGAAAAATGGGAAATCCTGTGTATCAGGACAGTGCTATATTTACAAACCTACTATGTAAAAGTAATTAAAATCTATTATTTCTCTAAGATGTTACTTGATAACTCCCATCACTTGGTATTACTAATTTCACATGCAAACCATTTTTATGAAGTATAACTCTTAAATTAATATTTGATAAAAACAATTACAGAATTTCATTAGCCTGCTTGATTCCTTATTTTAAAAGGCTTAATCAACTAAGAAAAACGTATTTCAACTTAAAACAATTAATGACACTAGCTTCCCAATAATCCCAGATGATAAAATATAATCATTTATTTACAATAGGAAGTGCCTAAAAACTGAAGAAAATAATAAACAATGAAACAAATGGTCAGTGTGAGTGAAAGCAACAGAACAGTCCAGAGCTCTGTCCAGCAGGGAACTGGATGCATTAATGACTATGCTAATGAGGACGTGGCTGTGATGTTAAAAACCTGAAGAAGGCACAAATTTGTAGCCTGTGGTGCAACTGGGTAGCACTCCCAAGCAAGTGTTAATTTATGTTGCCACAGGAGCTTGCCAGAGTGCAGCTAGGTGGGGAATTGTGGGCAGGAGGAAGAGTATTCGCTGAGAAGGAACCGTAGCTGAACAGGGATAAGTGAATGGTGAGAGTATGAAATGCATGAAGAATTCCACACAGCTGGGGCCTAAGACAAACAAGAGAGGCAAGGAACCAAAAGCATCTGAGGACATATACAACTCAAGATCCCCCACAGGCCATGCTTAAAATGTTTGTTTCTATAGGTAATAGAGGGCTGCCAGACACTCGTTCCGTTACTTTTAAACTTTTTATTTTGAAAAATTACAAATATATTACAGTAAAAAGCATTAAGGAGCTAAAATTTTTATTCAGCTTCAATAATCATTGTTAGTAATATCTTTTAACCGTCACAGCAAGTGTCACTGATTTCTGTTTTGGAAAGGGGTGATGTGCAGGAGTGTTTGGGTGATGGGAACACTGGAGGTACCCTCACTAGACTGTAACCCAGTGCCCAGGGACTGCCCTGTCCTCCTCTATACTTCACTCTACATTATACTATCTGACCAGAAAAATGTTTGCAAAATAGATCTCATAAAATATAATAAAAGTTGACTGTGCATTTTTTTCCTCTTTCAACAGCTTGCATTTTCAACAATTACTGATTATTCATTATAATGAATGTATTTAAAAACCTATCAAAACTTACTTTTTAAATGAACAATGATGTGATATATACCTACCCCACTTCACTGTCTTGTTCTGCTCGGAGCATAGCAAGCCACTGCTGTTTATATACACAAGACAGCCATTCTGAAATGTGAACGTTTATTAACTTCTAATTAAAACGGAAAAACAAAGAATTTAAACATTCCAAGCAATTGGTAAAATTGCTACCACTTCTAAACTCAAAAGTTTAATAGCAACTAAAAAAGCAGACAGCTTATATTTTGCAAACATGCTGTGACAGTATGTTTACTGATCTTCAAAGTGGTATCTAGCTTTGTCTTAGGATAGAATCTACTTAGATTACATAAACTTAGGGTCTAAATCCTTAGTTAAAAATATACTCACGTATTAATTGTTTCCTTTTCACAGCTCATGTTAATTTTCTTTTGTGAAAATCATACCTAAGCACTAATTTTTTTCTTCACAATATACATAATTTTTACAAACATTCTTCCAGAAAACTGAATAGTGGGTTTTCCTTCATTGATTTTTCTAAAGGTAGCATTGAACTTACTCTGGGGGAGATAAGTCTTGTCTAAATCAGCAGATGAGGCATGTACACTCAGGGATTAGCACTAGGGCGTGGTTAAGATGCCATCTAGGAAACCTGCACCCATATCAGAGGGCCTTGGTTCAATTCCTTGCTCTGCTTTTCGACTAGGACGTGTTCTGGGAGGCAGCCGAGGGATGGCTGCAGGTGGTTGGGTCCTGGTCACTCGTGACACCTGGGAGTGTTTCAGGCTTCTGGCTTTGGCTTGGCTCAGACCTGGCTGATCAGGACATCTGAAGGGTAAACTAGCGAATGGAAGATCTGTCTTTGCTATTCAAGTAAGTAAAAATTTTTAAAACCAAAACCCCCCAAAATTGTGCAATATTAAATAATCATGAAAAAGATTTAAATAACACTAAACAGAATAAGATATTTTCCTTTCAATAATTACATATTTACCTACTTTATGAGTTTGTACAAGATGCAATTTTATTTTTTACTAAAACATATTTATAGGAGCTGGTGTTGTGGTGCAGTTAATAATTAAATTGCTGTTTGCAGCGCATTTCCTGTTTGAGCACATGGCTTGGGTCCCAGCTGCTCTTCGCCTGACACAGTTCCCTGCTATTGTGCCCAAAAGGGCAGCAGAGGACGCTGTATGTGCCCTGGGCCCCTGTACCCACATGGCTCCTGCCGTTAGCCCAGCCATTGCAGTTATCTGGGGAGTGAACCAGTGGACGGAAGATCTCTTCTCTCTCCCTCTCTATGTAACTCTGCTGTTCAAATTTTTAAAAATTTAAAACAAACAATAAGCAAAACAAAAATAACAAAAAATAAAAAATTATTAATTTTTTATTTAATAAAAATAAATGGTAGCAGCTTACTTAGCACCGTATTTATCCTTGTGCTCTACTGTATTCCCAACCAGAAAGGATGGCTTTTCTGTTGTTAAATGAGTTCTTAACCTCTAAATAAAGAAGGGGGGTAAGATAAAACTGTGATTAAAGTATGAATTGCCTTGTTGAAAATTTATTTGAAAGAGACGCAGAATGAGAGAGATCTTCTATCTACAGGTTCGCTCCTCAAATGCCCTCAACAGCTGGGACGAGGCCAGGCTGAACCAGAAGCTGAAAACTCAATCTTGGTCTCTCCCACGGATGGCAGGGACCGGAACACGTGGGACCTAACCTGCTGCCCCTCAGGGTGCACATTAGCAGGAAGCTGTAAGATGGAGCAAAGCCAAGGGTTGATAAACACCCCGAGTGGCATCTTAACTGCTGATAGTTCACTCTGCAGCCTCTACTTCATGAAGACATCAGATGGCCTCCAATGCTTAAAACACCCTATTAAATACACTTTTGAATGTTTCTTTCAGAAACCTCTAAATTACATTTTTGGCATTATAGGAATAGCTACTAAATGTCTAAATCACAGATAATTTGTCTTCACAGGTAAACCTGTAGTAAATTTTACATAAGTCAATATTGCATATATGCTTTTGTATCTTATTTGGAGTGCAGCTGAACTTCTAAAAATTTTGTTCTACATACTATAGTAAAAATTTAAAAAGCTAATCCCTACGGATAAAGTGGTTTTTCAACCCACTAGTAAGTTATGCCTGGATTTCCAAATTCATTGATACAGATTTTCATGATTCTATGAAATGTTTTAAAATTTACTTTTTAAAGATTAATTTGAAAGATAAATAAGAAAAGATCTTTTATCTGCTGGTTCACTCCCCAGTTGGCTACAGTAGTCAGGGCGGAGCCAGAAGCCAGGAACTTCACCCAGGTCTCCCACCTAGTTGACAAGGGTCGAAGCATTTGAACCATTCTCTGCTGCTTTTTGCAGGCACATCAGCAGGGAGCTGAATCAGAAGTGGAGCAGCCAGGACTTGGTCTGGAATCGCAAGTGGAGGCTTAACCACTGTGCCACAGCAGTGGACCTGTTTTAAATTTTAAATCCCAACAACTTTTGTATAATTTTTACAACTAAAAACATGGGGCAGCAATGTTGTACCAGTGGGTTAAGCCATTTGCCAGGGGACACCTGCATCCCAGGGGACATGAAACTCCTCTGTTTCTGGGCAGGCAGCAGATACTGGTCCAAGCCGAGACCCTGCCGCTCACCCGGAAGCCCTGGGTGGCATTTCTGGCTCACAGCTCTGGCCTGAGTCACTCCTGGGATGTTGTGGACATGTGAGGAGCGAACTAGCAAAAGGAGGCTCAGTCACTCAGCCTGTCAAATAAATAAATCTTGAAAAAAAAATTCAAATTAAAGAATATAACATTCTGGAGAATATTTAATGGGATATGTAAAAAATACACACACTATATAATATGAGCACAGAAAATTACCTTTTTGGGATTAGGATAATTTTCATTTTTATTATCTTTTTTTAAAAAACATAAGGTAGTTCACATGCGGTTAACGTTTATTTGCTTATTCTCATCTATTTGAAAGGCACAGCAACAGAGAAATGAAAGAAACACAGCAAGGGAAAGCCATCCTCCACACACTGGTTCATTTCCCAAATGCTCGTAAGGGCCAGGACCAGTTCCAAGCCAGGAGCCCCTCACTTCATCCGAGTCTTCCATGTGGGTGGCTGGGGTTTCCCAGATTTCATCGGCAGGAAGCCGGACTGGAAGCAGAACAGCTGGGACTTGAAACAGCACTTCGATGTGTGATGTGGACATCCCAAGTGGAGACTTAGCCTTCTCCTGCACAACACCTGCCCCTTCATTATATTTTAAAAACTTTTTTTTTCAATCATTTAAGCTGAGAGCCGGGGAGCCAGGGAGCCAGGAGCCAGGGAGAGAGTGCTGCCCTTTCTTGGTTCAATCCCCTAGTGCCTGTACCAATCAGGATCTCAGTGTGTTTCTTACATGGGTGGCAGGAATCCAAGCACTTGAGCCATCACCTGCTGCTTCCCCTTGGTGTGAGTAAGCAGGAAGCTAGAATCAGGAGGGGAGCCAGGACTCAAACCCAGGCACTCTGACACAGTATGCAGACTTCCCAAGGAACATCCTAACCACTGTACTTCATGCTCGCTCCCAACATTACTATGATGCATGCTACTGTTATAATCAGAAAAGTGTTACTTAAAAATAATAAATTCATACTCTCTTACCTGAAGGTACTAGAGAATCTTGTTCAATAATTTTTGCAGATGCCAGATCACTAATAATATACTGTAACCTTAAATGTCTGAACACTGACACAAATGGTTTTCCTTGCTCAGTTTCAAGGAAGGTCATGCCTTCAAAATCTATTAAAAGAAAAGTGGAAATAGCGATTATTTTCAAACCTATTGCTTCATTTAATTCCTGAATGTTTTTAGGGTGGGGAGAAATACATATAACACACACACCCCATTAGAATACACAGAAGACCACTTAGAAATGTTTTGACTTTATAAACCTAAAGTTGTATAGATAAAAACTCAGATTTAGAAAAAAGCCTCAGGAAACTAATTTCGGTCCTAATGAGTTTCTTGGGCTGGGAATTCAGCTCTACGTAAGCTTTCTGGTATGGAGTGCGTATGGTGCAGCAAGGTGGAGAAGAAAGCCTGGGGTGAGATCCAAATGGGCTTTCTCTCCAAGGACTGAGCAGCTCAAGACCTCAGGTCTCTCGCTCCAGAGTCCTCCCAAGGCATACAGCACGTGGAACATCTCGGGATGCCTCAAACTCATGCTTCAGCTACAGGTGGAAACACCAGTTAATATGTTAATTCTGTATTAAAATACAGAATCAGAAAAACATTGTAGATACAGATTTGCAAAATATGGATATCAAATAATTCAAGTTTATGAAGTGTCTGGGTAATGTCCACCTTTTAAGAAGGATTTCAGGTTACTCCTAAAGGAAATTCTCGACTATACTCCGATGTGCTCTCATGAGTGGGAGGGCAATGTCCGGCTACTAGCATCAAGCTCATGCATGAGCACAGGTCCAAGGCACGCTCCGAGGAGTACACCTAGTCTAGTCATTAAGGAAAAGGAAGAGTGTCAGTGGTGCATTACAGAAGCCCGTTAAGGCTCACACCACGCTTCACACAGAGGAAAGAGTTTTGATAAACTAGAGAAGGGATCCTCAATAACATAACTTTTTCTTGCAAATTGTGAAAAAATAGGCAAATTAATAGAAAGAATTTTCAAATTTTTAACTCATACAGTTGATGCCTGCCAAAGCAAACAAGTAAAGTGAGTTTAAAAATTAATAGTTAACTTTGCTTTGACTCTAGACATTTATATCTTGCCATTTAACAATGACAATACTAGCTTCGGTTCACAGGCTGAATTAAATGTGCCGAGTTCATGAAGTGTACTGGGGATACCATTTTGTTCCTGCAGGTTTCTGTCATACAAGCAAAATTAAAATCGAATTCTTGAATGTCTTTTGGAAATCTGAAAATTACCCATGAAACCTTTTATTCAGGGCTGAGGAACACACTGGCTCATTTTCTTTCCCTCAGAATTCATGGAATCCAAAAAAATATTTCAAATGTCTTACAGGCTAACTAGGCAATAATAATTGTATCAGCCAAAATCAACTGTAATGCCTAATTATGACTGTGTAAAATTTTCTACTATTTTTTAGTGTCTTGATCCATATATATCTGAAAAAGATAAAGGAAACTTAAGAGAAATACACAAAAATATAATGAGCAAGGGGACTACATTAAAAAATAAAGGCAAGACGTCAATAAAATTTCAGGGTACCTTTTTTTCGCTTAGAAAACCAGACATCTGTTTCAGTTAAAAGTTGTTTTAGAGTCCCATTCCATGAAGGCACAAGTTGAAGAAACATCCACTAAGATAAAAACACACAAAAAAACCCAAAATCATAAAACTTGATCATTTTAGGATTACATTTTCAAACTGCTTCCAATGGAAGCTTTAAACTCATCACAGCACTATGGTTTGTTGATAGAAGCCAGGTTACCCATGTCTGGGAAGAAGCAAGCTGATTCATGAAAAGTGCTTAGGTCACAAGTCTATCTTAAATAACTGTGTAAAAGGAAAAGCAAGTATCTATTATCGAGTAATTTTATATTATTTTATTCTACTTACTAATTAAAGTTCCATTACTCTGTGAGATTATAAAAATTATAATAATGGAAAATGGAATTTGTCTTATTGCTATTGGCTCTATATATAGAAGAGTTAAAACAAAGGTTTAAATTCTGGATTGGGGTGGGAGAGGGGACAGCACTGTGGCACCACAAGCTAAAGAGCTGCTGCATTCTGGCTTTTTTTTTTGGAAAGGCAGATACACAGAGAGGAGGAGAGACAGAGAGAAAGATCTTCCGTCCAATGGTTCATTCCCCAAGTGGCTGCAATGGCTGGAGCTGAGCCAATCCAAAGCCAGGATCCTCTTCTGGGTCTCCCATGCGAGTGCAGGGTCCCAAAGCTTTGGGCCATCCTCAAATGCTTTCCCGGGCCACAAGTAGGGAGCTTGATGGGAAGTGGAGCTGCTGGGATTAGAGCCGGCACCCATATGGGATCCTGGCGTGTTCAAGGCGAGGACATTAGCCGCTATCATGCTTAGCCCCCATTCTGGCATTAAGTATGCTGGCTCAAATCCCAGGTACTCCACTTCTGATCCCTGTTGATGTGCCTAGGAAAACTGTGGAAGAGGCGCAAGTATTTGGGTCCCTGCCTCCCATGTGGCTTCAGCCTGGCCCATCTAGAGCTGTTGCAGCCATCCAAGGAATGAACCAAAAATAGAAGACCTCTCTCTGATTGTCCTTCTCTATCACTGTGCCTATGAAAAAAAGATATCTGGTTCTACCACTTAATAGTTGGGCAAGTAAATCTACTTCCTCTGGGACTAATTTATTTATAAAATGAGCATGACAAAATGTAAAGAATTATTATCTAACATATTTAAAATGGTGTGTGGCACATGGTAGACATCATGCAAGTATTAGCATTTATCATTACTTGCATCAAAGCAGTTATAACAATGGGAACGAGTGAATGATACAGTGGCTCAGAGACACACTAACACTCATTCCTTTCAAGGTTGAAAAACCCAAATATTAAATGTCATGTCTCCCATTTAAACCAACAATCCCAATGGTGTATCACTGCCGGGCAAGACCATATTTCTTGTTGGAGATAAAAGGCTAAAAGCAAATTTAGATAGTGGGAAAGAGAGCAATGGATCAGGACTCATAATGTTGAGACTCTATCTAAAGATTTAGTGGCTTTAGGAACTATTTATCTATTCAGAGAGTTGAGAAGATAAAACTATATTAGGATGTGCTGTGTTGAGTGTTTGCTTTGGAAGAACATAGTAATAAATTATGTTGAAATATTTTAAAAAGAAGCAAAACAAATGACCAACAGTACAAACAGGCCTTTAAAAGAATTTTCAGCATTTTCTAGAAGATGGGTGTGTGAAAATTTCATCATGAAATCATTTTTAACTTGCATCAAGTTAAACTTTGATGAAACATTAAAACTGTAAGACAGGGCCCGGCGCGATGGCGCAGTGGTTAAGGTTCTCGCCTTGCACGCCCAGGATTCCATATGGGCGCCGGTTCCAATTCTGGCAGCCCTGCTTCCCATCCAGCTCCCTGCCTGTGGTACGTGCATTTCTGACTTAAACAATTTCAACGTATGTGTTTACTGACATGTAAGCCCACTGTGGCTTATGGTGCATTTGTATTTCCTTTCCCTTAGTTTGTATCTATCCTTTTATCACTAGACACTAGCTTTGTGTGCAATTTCTCATCATTATAAGCAATACTGAGGCAATATCTTATATACATCAATACCTTTTTTAGAGCTGTATATACATCCATCTCCACTTGCATCACAAATAAGTTAGATGAACTAATGAGCTGTTTCATGACATTTATACTGGGAAAGATAAAATAAAGATAGTGAGCTTATTTTCACACACAGGTAATGAAAGACCTGATAAAACTTATCACTTTTAAGTTTTCATTAAATAAATAAATAAATAAAAGTGGAATTAAATAAATAAATAAAAGTGGAATTAAATACTGGTTTTCTTTTTTTGCCCAAGACAAAAAAAAAAAAATCTTAGAAAACAACCTATTTGAATACAATGATTATTTTTATCTTGAAGCATCTGAGAGTAAGAAAGCCAGAGAGAGGGGGGTGGGGGACAGAGAGAAAAGAGCTGCCATCTACTGGTTCACTCCTCAAACGCCTGCAGTGGCTGTGGCTGCCCAGGGACTGAAGTCAGGAGCTGGGCCCTCAATGCAGGTCTTCTATGTGGATGGCAAGAACCCAACTATGCGAACTGTGACTGCTGCACCATAGCCTCTGCAGTGGTATGGAGCTAGAGGGTACTGAACCCAAGCACTCCAATGGGGGATGAGGAAGAATGTCTTCACTCTTTGCCAAACACCTACCCTTAGACTTTGAACTCAGACAGTGCGGGGTGTCGGGGGGTTGTTCTGCTTTCAGAGTGATCCAGAAACAAAGACCTGAGATCTGAATGATCAAGTCAAAGACAGGTCCCAAGGTAATTTTTAATACACTATGTTAAAAACGGCAGCCTTTCTTTTTGCTACTTAGCATATCTCCATCCCATATTGGATTACAAATTTAAATCCCAGATCCTTCCCTTCAAATCCAGCTTCCTGCTGATGTACCTGGGAAGGCAGCAGATAATGGCTTAAGTTCTTGGGTCCTTTCCAACCAAATGCGACATCTAGATGAACTTCTGAGTCCCTGACTTAGGTCTGGTCCAGTTCCTTCCCTCCGTGTCACTCTTTCAGTAAACTTAAATACACACACACATATAGATATAGATATTTATGGGTACATACATACATGCAACTTCTAGCTGACACAACATGTCACTGCTCGTAAACAACAACAATCAAAACAAACAAACAAAAAAACACCCACCCCACATTGGAGTGCTGGTTTGAACTCCGGCTATTGTGCTTCCACTCCAGCTTACTGCTAATGGGCCTACGAAGACAGAGGTTGGCCTAAGTACTGGAACCCCTGCTACCCATGTGGGAGACCAGGATGGAGTTTCTAGATCCTGGCTTCAGTCTGGCCCAGCCCTGGCTGTTATGGCCATCTAGGAAGTGAGCCAGCAGACAGAAGATCGATCTCTCTGTCTCTCCTCTCTGACAGACCGCTTTTAAAATAAATGAATCTTACAAAAGAAGAAAAACATTATTTTACAATGAGTAAGTATAAAGTGATTTAAAATGTAAATACCTTAGTTCTTTAAAAAGTTCAACATTCTGATGAGTCATTAAGTTATTTAAAAGCCATTCAAGGCACCTGAAATTAAAGCATGTAATTATTATATTTATGCATTTATTACATATTTGTCACCTACTGAGTAGAACTTACAATTAGGACAAAAACAGAGTGTTAATCTTGCTGGAATCAGCTCAAACTTTTTGGCTTAATACTTGCAAATTTAGTATTGTTTTGGCCATTAGTTATTAGGAGAGCATTCTCTTGATATTAACAAGGGCATTTCTAACCCAGATAATTGCAGTTTTTGTTAAGTGGTTTACAAACGAGCTTGCTTAGTTCTATAAACTTCTTTAACATCTGGACATGGCTATCATGATTTAGAGTTAAAAAGACTGCCTGCAATTGGATCGATACAAGATGTGATGTCTACTATGCTTGCTCCTTAAATAAGCTCATGAGAAAAATGCACTGTAAAGAGTGACCACAGTCTTTATCTGCGCATGGCCAGTAACAAATACAACACCTGAGGCATTTACTAACAGTTGAAAAGCAAAAAGAGTATGTTTTAAAATTACAACAAAATTTTATGCCACTACCCCTTTTTTCCCTTGATGCATTCTCTTAAGAAACAAAAGCAACCAAATCCCCAAAAGTGGGCTGGGAGAAACAAGAAAAGGTCACTCACTTTTTCTTTACAGAATCTAATCCATAGGTCCCTGCTGATGTGTAATAGCCACACACAGTTTTCACATTAATTGTTTCCTTCATTGTCTCACCACACTGCTGTATTAAACCATCCTGTAAATATAAATAAGCACTGGAAAGGCCCATTTCACATGGGAAATATTAGCTCTGACATGTGCTTTTACATATTAAAAAGTAAAAAAAAAAAAAAAGGAAGAAAGAAAGAAAAGAAAGAAAACTCATTAAGTGCAGCAAGCCTAAGTTTTTTTAAGTCCAATAAAAACACTGAAAAAAAATCCAGCAAGTATTTAACTAAATACTTGGAATTGAAAAATGGTAAGGAGGAAAGCAGTAAAATAGAAATGAACATTGCTATTCTCTTTGTTTTATTTTTCCCTCTTGTCTGGCACCAGTCTGTTTCACTTGTTCTCTTTAAATTAAGAACTCTACTTAGGTAACCATGTGATGGGCTAGATCAGTAAACAGTATAAATGATCAGAAAATATTTATTAAAGTTTAAAACACTTGTCAAATCTAAGAGTTGCACCTAAAACAAATGCAACTGCTTTGAAGTTAAATTAAAATTTTAATCTAAAATGCTTTTAGAGGCTTTAAATGAACACACTTGAACTTCAGCAGACAGTAAGACTGTCACTTTTCATACAAACTGCTGAAATGCATTCGTCATGCAAGTATATTAAAGTTAGTAAGTCATAAAAACAATGCATAAAGTGGATTTAGAACAAAACCAAAAGGACCAAGTTAGAAGATAAGCATACTTATTGGAAATAAGTACTGAAAGTTTCAAAACATTTTAGAACTCAAACAATTTCAACAAATGATACTTCTCAAGCTGTTAGCTCAAATAAATCAGTAAACAATGCCATACTAAAGGAAACTTTAAAAATGGATTAAAATGTTGACTATGAGGATTGTATACTTACTTGAAAATCATTCCAGATTCCTCCCTTCCTCTTAGCATCTCATCTATCACTAAGCCCAGTGGCTCTCTCCTGCTTAACATCTTCGCTATCCACGGTTTCACGCCATGCCTCCCACCATTTCCCTAATTCAGATCCCCACCTGGACTACTGCGATAGGGTTTTGTCTCTAATGTATTTATCTTTCCTTCAATACAGTCTTTATATTGTTTCTGAAGTAGTCTTCATAAAATACAACTTTGTCTTCTAATTAAAACTGTCCAGTACTCGAAATGTCCTTAGCAACGTACAAGGGGTCTTTGAGATGTGGCTCTAATCCTTCTCGCATTTATGCTAGAGCCATTGTCTCTCCTTTCCAACCCCTCCCCCAAGATTCTGAAATGTTCTTCCTTTTTTCTTCTTATTTTCTAAAATACAGATTTTCTGTTTTGAAGACTCAATCTGAAGATGTAACTTTCATCTATGACCTCTGCCAGGAGAACTGACCATTCCCCTCTTTATGCTCCCATTACATCCGGCTGGATATTTATTTTTATATCTCAAAGAGTGGACAGCTCTTACTTTATATTCTGGCTTATGTTTTCAACCTTCCCTCCTGCGCAACACACACCTGTACTGTGAGTTCCCTGCAAGCAGAGTCCACCTCTTATTTGTGCACCTCTATGCCTCGTCTGACACACTGTTCAACATACTTCTGTGGAAGGAAAGAATCTGCCATTCTACCGATGCACTAAAATATATATGCGATTAAGATTTCCTTCTTAATGAAGAAAAAAGTCTAAGAGTGGTACTCAATAACTTTGAACCCATGAACCAATTAGTACTCATAAGCCATCTGTTTTTGAGTTCAAGACAGATTACTAATGACTAGAAATCTACAATTAAGTGAGAGCTTCCCCCGTGGCAGTCATAGCAAGAATCTGCACAGAAGCAGCGTGCGTTCATTTTACACACACATCTTGACCTCAGCTGTGACAGACTGTTTATGGTTCAGTGTTTTCAAATAATTTCTAACAAAGGCACACTTGTTCATCTAATTGACAATTATGAAAAGCTATGTTTTATTTGGTTTTTGGAATAGATACAGAGCTATTGCTATGACCCTTCCTTTAAACAAGGTGCACACTTACCAGCTGCAGCATACAAGCTGCTGCCAAAATGGCAATAACTCGACTGGGCTTTATTAAGACGTCATCTCGATACAGGGACCCGAAAGCAACCTGCAGTGCTGAAAGCAAAAGTTCACATGTGGAATGAAATAACAGTAATTAGGGCAATTAACAGAATTACAAGCATAATGACTGTCTTCACAAAGACATTTGTCCAAAATGGTACATACATACGTAAAAGGCTAGTGTTGAATTTAGAAATGATGTAAATTTCTACTTATTCCCTGTACCTTAGTTTTCTTAGCTAAGGACAGGCTTTATTTATTTATTTAAATTTTTATTGGAGAGAAAGATCTTCTATCCACTGATTTACTCCCCAAGTAGCCACAAAGGCCAGAGCTGAGCTGATCAGATGCTAGGAGCCAGAAGTTTCCTCTGGGTCTCCCATGCCTGTACAAGGTCCCAAGTCTTTGGGCCGTCCTCAACTGCTTTTCAAGGCCACAAAGAGGGATCTGGGTGGGAAGCAGAGCAGCTAGGACACAAAGTGGCACCCATAAGGGATTCCGGCAGATGCGAAGCAAGAATTTAGCCACTAGGCTGTGGCACCAGGCCCTGCTATGGACAGTTCTAAAACACCATTGATGAGGCAGGTGGATTCTAGCTGGGATGACTGCAGTCTGCGTCAGAGTACTTGTGAGTCCTTGTTCCACTGCTGACTTCAGATCCTGCTAGTGCAGACCCTGGGAGGAACAGTATCCAAGTGTCTCTGACACTTCCACTGAGTCCTGGGCTTGTGGTTTTGGCCTAGGTCCAGCACTGGCTGTTGAAGGCATGGGGGGGAGCATGGTGAAGAGAAGGAAGGAAGGTAAACCAGAAGACTGAAGAACTGTCACTCTTCTTCTGCAATTACTAAAAATTTAAAGTTGACTATATGATTCATATCGTTATTGCTCCCCGGAAAGACATCCATCATTCATACAAGTAACAATCAATGAGCTTTATTTACCAGATTTTCTATGCATTTTTAAAGTCATTTTTCCTTCCTCTCCCTACATCCTCCATAAGCCAGGCAGGTATATTCCCACGGATAATAAACAGACTGCCAAGGTCGTTGTGACGAAACAGATTACGAGAGGAAGAGCAGAACTGAGAAACTATGGATTAAAATCAATACGAACGATTGCCTTTGGTTTTAAGCAGAGTTCTGGTCTACAAGGTTAAAGGAAAATGTTTTCTTAACAGAAAAATATAAAATAGAAAAAGACAGAAAAAGTAATAAAGGGTTATGAGTTTATGATCTTTGCATAATCACAATTACAGTAGTGGTTACCTTCTATATCAATATTCTGGTCAGGAATCTCCAATTCAATAATACTCATGCTGGATTCTTTCCAAGAACCACTGAACATACTAGAGAAGTAGCCAGACTTAAAAAACAAACAAAAAATAACAATGATTATCCAACACTTTGTTTTCCAAATTACGCTCCCATTCTACCTCCAAGTAAATATTCTATCAAAATTGACCCATTATACTATTTCAGTTAAAACAAAAAACTGCTAAATACATCTAAATAAGAAATCAAGGACATTATACCAAAAAAAGGTATATCAAAGCATATCTTGCTTACTGCTAATTTAACAAAAACCAAACCAAATTCTTACATTACTATCTGAACTGAATTTATGCTATTATTTGAACCTGGTTAGCCGATTATATCAATTTCTGAGTTCATCAATACATATTTTCCTTCACAATCAGATTAAAAATTCAACATCAGAAACTATGATAGATTTAAGTGGCTCTCACAATCATGTCAAGTGAAGACATACTAATGTGATGAAACCTAAACCAAACTTCTCCAAGGCTTGAGTTTAGTCTGCTTCTCTAGCTGGAGGAAGGCCCAGACCAGGCCAAAGTCAGCACCAACTGGATGATCCCCAAAGGAAATAGGGAACATCTCATTGGAAAATTCCAGGGCAAACGTGGAGCCTTGAAAAAGTACTAGAAAAGATATAGTCTTTATATGCCTTCCAGACATATGAAGTACCCTTCATAATTAGAATCTGTATTTTGGGATGGATCAAATATTCAGTATTTCAAAATTTTACTGAGCGCTATTGGTTCCAGGACCCACTACAGGTACTAACACCATGGATGTTCACATTACTTACATATAATCAACATATAATTTCCTATACTCTTTCCATCACCTCTAGGTGATTATAATATTTAATACAACATAAATGCTATACAAACAGTTGTTATATCGTATTGTTCATGGCATAGTGGCAAGAAAAAGTGTGTGCAAGGTTAGAGACACAAATTCTCTGAATATTTGTGATCTGTGGTTGGCTGAATCCACCCGCTCCAAATCTGCCTCTAGAGAGGCGCAGCTGAATGAAGCAGGCACTGTGAACGGAGCAGCAAACAAGACAGGCATTTTTGTCCCCAAAAGAGTTAATATTTGAGCTTGTGGCTCGAGTACCAATCCAGCTTTCACAAGAGAGAAGGTTTTAACAGAGGAAATCTCCATGCTCACAAAAGAAATTTGCTTTTATATTAGAAAGACATGGATCATATCCTTAAGGTAAGCTTGATAACCTAATGTATCATATGGGCCACATAATTCAATTAAATCAAAGTAAATTTGCTAAACTAAAAAAAAAAAGCGATTATTACACATGAGAAAAAACTGCTGATCTAATGCTTTTAATGGAAAATGCTATACTAGGGCACCTTAGTAGCATCATTATCTTCAACTGGTAAAGCAGCGAGGAGAAACATAGCCTCCACAAGAACAGCTTCTTGCAGTATTCCCAAGGCCTAACACATAAATGCGATTAAAAATATTCATCTATATGAAATAGCTGAGCCATCAGAACATTTTATTCTACTCTGAAATGCACTGAATCTTTAAAATGAAGTGGCAAATATTAACTAACTAAATAAAACGAAACAGCAATATTGGATAATGGTCATAGTCTACAGACTTTTTCTGATCTTGTTGTGAACATAACAGGGAAGGAAAAGTGTCAAGAACTTTCCATTCACATTCAACCTAAACTGGAAAGCCAACATTTTATCTGAATCTGTCCTATACAAAGGAACTCACCAGTCTTCGCTGTAATGTTAAACATTTTCTCTTCACTTTTTCTACTTCAGCAACAAAAGGTATCAAAATAAGCATCTCTTTGAAGTAATGGCAAAGTAGTAATGTGAGCTCATATGAAAAGAAATTTCAAAATGTTTCTAAGCAAACCTAAGTTTTCACTGCACTGATAAGCATTTCTCTAATAAAACAGTCTTTTTATTAGATAATTTATACAACAATTGTCCATGTAGATTGCTGTAGAATGCAATAAGACTATGAATTCAGAGGTTGCATTTTTGTTACCACCAGTTATTTAACCAGAAAAATAAAATACTTACTTGACATAAATATATTTTATGCAAGCTCCATTCTTCTCCTAGAGCACAAATCTTAATATCACTATTTTCACCATTCAAAAATAAAGTTTGATAAATATATTTGGACGTACTCTTTAATTTTTTCCTGTTGAAAGAAATGTAAAAGTTACCCATATTATGGAATGTTTTACTGATTTTGCATATTTCAAAATTCTTTTGTTCAATTTCTGTTAAAGAGACTTTAATGAAAAAGAACAATATAAACTCAAATTCGCTTAGATCTGAAAGTACTAAAGAGTTTATTACCAGAGCTAATGTTTCCTGTAGTACCAAGTCGACAGATGGGGCAGCACGGGAGGCAGATCTCTCACCTTTCAGTCTTTTGTTATTGTTATTTTTAAAGAATAAATAAATAAAATCTATATATTTTTTTAATTGGAAAGGCAGATATACAGAGAGGATAAACAGAAAGATTTTCCATCTGCTGGTTCACTCCCCAGGTGGCTCAGCTGGAGCTGAGCTGATCCGAAACCAGGAGCCTCCCCGGGGTCTCCTGAGTAGGTGAGGGTCCCAAGGCTTTGGGTCATCCTAAACGGCTTTCCAAGGCCACAAATAGGGAGCTGAATGGAAGTGGAGCAGTTGGGATATGAAGCGGCCCCTACCTAGGATCCCTGTGGATACAGGGTAGGTGAGAGTTTGAGGATTTAACCACTAGACTGTCCACCAGGCCCACGTTTTGTTGTTTTTTGCATTTAGTTACATTTCAACAGATTAAGAAGTTCCGTCAGCATGAGATTTGTTGTGCTTATTTAGAAAATAGTACTATGGAGATTCTCTGTATAACAATTAATTTTCAATGCAACTAGAAAATAGACATGAGTAAAAATTTTACCTACCCAGATAATTTTAAAATAACTTGCATTTAATCTTATCTAGGTACTATAATTAACTAACTAAGACTGTTTTTCAGCAAATCAAAATCCTCCACCAGCCCTCACTAAACACTAAAGACATGGTCTACGGTGGAAGGTTTCAAAACTATGTTCCAAGGAGCACCACCTTAGGGAGCACCAAGGAATGCTGAACATCCCACCTAGCTTCAATCTGTGTAACATTTTATAAAAAGATTTATTTATTTTACTTGAGTTACAGAGAGAAGAGACAGAGACCTTCCACTGCTAGTTCATTCCCCAGATGGCTACAAAAGCAAGAGCTGGGCTGGTTTGAAGTTAGGGGTTTTATCTGCATCTTCCAGGTGGGTGCAGGAGCCCGAGACCCCAGGCCATCCTCTGCTGCCCTCCCAGGCCATCTGCAGAGAGCTGATCAGAAGCGAACAGCAGGGGCCCGGCACGGTAGCCTATTGGATGAAATCCTCACCTTGAATGCACTCAGATTCCATTTGGGTGCCAGTTCTAATCCCGGCGGCCCCGTTTTCCATCCAGCTCCCTGCTTGTGGCCTGGGAAAGCAGTCGGGGACGGCCCAAGGCCTTGGGACCCTGCACCCACATGGGAGACCTGGAGAAAGTTCCTGGCTCCTGGCTTTCAATCAGCTCAGCTCCGACCATTGCTGTCACTTGGGGAGTGAATCATCAGAAGGAAGATCTTCCTCTCTGTCTCTCCTCCTCTCTGTATATCTGACTAAAAAACAAACAAAACTTAAAAAAAAAAAAAGTAGAAGAAGAAACAGTAGAACAGCCAGGATACCACATAGTGTCTACCTACAATGCAGGCCCCACTTGCGGAGAATCAGCCTGCTAATTAATGTTGCCCAGCTGCCCCCTCACCACCAATTTTTCTTTTAATTGAAAGAGTTTGCCCCACACTAATTGGTGGTCCAACAGGTATACTTCCCTCTCAACTATGTTAACATCATCAAAAATCAAATAGATTTATTATTTAAAAAAAAAAAAAGGATTTGGTTGGGGGCATCTGGACATCTTAACTAGAGTCAACCTCTTGGTTAAATGTCACCATAAAACTTAAACAAATTATTGCAGAAAAAAAGCAAAGCTTGCAATTTACTGCTCAAGATCATCCTATCAGTATAAAAAGAAAAAAGAAAAAATTACCACCCCAGCAGAAGCCAATTAGCTGTTGTAATAATGCTATTATGGGGCATGGCGGCGTGGCCTAGCGGCTAAAGTCCTCGCCTTGAATGAGCCAGGATCCCATATGGACACCGGTTCTAATCCCGGAAGCTCCACTTCCCATCCAGCTCCCTGCTTGTGGCCTGGGAAAGCAGTCTGAGGACGGCCCAAAGCCTTGGGACCCTGCACCCACATGGGAGACCTGGAGGAAGTTCCTGGCTCCCGGTTTCAGATTGGTGCAGCACCGGCCATTGCAGTCACCTGGGGAGTGAGTAAATCAACAGATGGAAGATCTTCCTCTCTGTCCTCCTCTCTGAATATCTGACTTTCCAATAAAAATAAAACAAATATTATTTTTAAAATGGGTGAAATACTCAAGATCTGGTTACGAAACAGACTGCTGTGTTTTAATAGTCTTGTTAATATAAAAATAAAACATGAGTTGACAAATGGTCTGAGGTGGAAGATAAGTCTAGAAGCTAACATCTTCTAGTAGGTGATTTTTTTTCTTTCACTTTTTCTTTGAAAGGTAGGGGGAGGTAGGAAGAGATCTTCCATCTGTTGCTCATCCTCTGCTTAGGCGCTGGGCCAGGCTGAGGCATCCCCCTGCCTCTCAGGGTGCCCACGGCAGAAAGCTGCAAACCCACGATACAAGGGTACCACAGGTGTCTTCATCACTGCACACTGAACACACCTGCTCCGGGAGCTGATGCTTCATGCAGCACTTCACTGAGATGATGGGAGAGTATACCAGGCAACCTCAGGAGGTCTATTAGTGCCAACACATAAAATCTGAGGACATCTTTCCTTAAACTCTATTCATGCTGGTCTGAGTGACCAGGCCTCTCCCACGCACAGGCACACACTAAATTCTGATATGCATTTTCAGAAGAAACTTTTCTGTAAAGCTTTCCATTCTGGTCTCCTCACGTACTTCGTGAGCCACATAGCCTCCACACAGTTTTGATGGAAACTCAGTGGAGACTTTCCTGCTTGCCAGTTTAAGTTTACCACACTTCAGCAAACTTTTCCACGACCTGGTCAGTTACAATCATACCTCCTTAATCTTAGCTTGGGAATAGTGGTCCCAGATTTGTTCCTTGCTTGGGTATTTTGCTTCAGCCTGAGAAACAGTGACCATTCCCTGTATTTTCTATTCCTATGTTTTTCAGACTTTACCTAGTATTCTGCCAGTTAGTTCTATGTACCTTTCAATGTTTAAATGGTAATTTCCTGTTCAAATTATTGTGTTGTATCTTTATCAAATGGAGCCTGACATATATTTATACTAAATAATTACACTAAATATAAGTAACCTAAATGCTAATTAAAGGTAGAGCTCATCCCACTAAATTAAAAAATATAGGAGATCTGCTGTCTACATAATACTTTTAAAGATGAATACAGATGTGTAAAACAGGAACAAATAGAAGAAAAATACCGTCCAAACAATCTCAAAAGACAGTGGTATTGGCTGTATTTTCAGTGATATAGTGGAACACACATTTTGTAATGAGGAAGGGGCCTCAATCATCAAGAAAATACAATACTTACTGGGCGCTCACAAGCCAAGTACTATGTGTTATATATTCACTCTCCTATTGGTCAAACCTTACCAAAGGAGGTGTGAATGTGTCTATTTTACTGAGGAGGGAAATAAGACTATTAATTAAAGTGCTGAAGTGCTAGCTCATTGGGAATATTTGGGAGTGAAGCAGAAACTAGACCATCTTTCTCTCTGCATTTCACAAGAAACAAGATTTTTAAGTAAACAAATAACTACATTTATGTAATCTCATGAATGACCCTTTTAAAAATTTTTTATTTTTTGTGAAAGAATTACAACTGAGAGAAAAGAGACAGAGAGACCTTCCATCTGCTGGTGCACTCCACCAAGTGGCTACTCAGAGCTGAGCCTATATGAAAGCAGGAGCTGCCCGCTGGTCTCCCACGTGGGGCAAGCACTTGGGCCACCTTCTGGTTTTCCAGGCTCAATATCAGGGAGCTGGGCGTCAAGTGGAGCAGCCAGCACCCAAGCCTGTGACCATCTGGACTGCCAGTGTTGTAGGCCCTGGCTTGACTCACTTTGAACTATGCTGGCCCACACCTGTGACTCTCTAAAAAACAAAAACAAAAGAGGTGGGCATTTGGTATAGTGGACATACACATCCCATACTGGGATGCCTGGCTCCTCTGCTTGCAATCCAGCCTCCTTGCTAGTGCAGGACAGCCTGCAGGTGACGGCCCAAGTCCTTGGTTCACTGCCACTCACATGGGAAGGCTAGAATGAGTTGTAGGCTCAAGGCTCCAAGGTGGTGCCGTGAGCCTTTGGGTAGCTGACCAACAGATGGGGAATCTGTATCTTTCTGCCTTCCCAAGACGCAAAAATCAATAAAAACAGGAAAGGCAGCCACATTGTTTATAAGACAATATAACCTCCTTATTCACTACATTCTAGTTTACAAGTGATGACTTTGCTTTTCAACTTTTCCAGGAAAACTCAACTCCCAGAGGCTCTGAAAGTTTGCTCCCAAGTAGCTACAGAAGTACACTGCTGGCGACCTTTCACAGTTAAGGAACACATCTGTGTACAATGATCACCACCCCCCACCCCCGACCCGCGTGGGCGACAACAGGAGTGCCCAACTCAGAGACAACTACACCTCTTTGTACTATTTACGGCAACCGGACGCAAAGCAACTCAGCCTGCGGCTACTCGCTCAGAGCGGGCAGCCGGCGGTCTCTGCGGTAACAGCGACGCAGGCCTCGGCTTGGCATTTCTGCTTCATTGTGGAGCTCCATCAGTACCCCAACTGCGCGTCTGTGGTTTGCAAACGCACAGTCTCCGGCGCCTCCCAGGGCGCTCCCCAAACCGATCCGTTCCAACGCCAGCTGCCACCTCCTCTGTGTGTCAAGGGCACATCTGCTTTGCCCAGGCCGGGGCGCCCTCTCGTCCCCAGGCCCAACAGGTGCAGGTGCGGGTCAGCCGGGCACGGACGTTCCCCTTCGCCCCTCTGCCCTGTCACTCACCTCCGAGGGGTGTTGAGGAGCCGCTGCTGCTCGTCTCCTTCTTCCTCATCCTCGTCGGTCTCAGAGTCGGGGCTATAGTAGAAGGCCCCGCTGCTCTGCTTGCGCTTGCGGCTGACCGGGTAGTAAAAGAAGCCGTGGCCGGACGCATCGCCTCCAGGCTCCGGCCTTCGGGCTGAGCCCCCGGCCCCGGGCCCCGGCTCCTGCTGAGCTCGGGCTCGTACCGGGTGGCGCAGAACTCGGCTGCTCAGCGAGCCCATGAGCCACGGCTCCCCGGGACTGGAGGGAGCGCACTCAGGGATCCCGGAGGAGAGGGTCTCCCGCCATGGCCGGCCGCCGCCGGCTTCCCCGCAGCTCCGGTGCCTACACAGCCACCTTCTCACGCGCAGCCCCAACCGTTGCAGCGGACGCTCCTACCTCCATCCCCGCCTCGCGCGGTGCGCCGGGACCGTAGGGCCTCGCCCCCTCGCCTTCTCAACAAAGCGCGGGCCTGGCGGCGCGTGCGCGCGGCGAGCCTCCGGAAGGGGCGGGCAGAGTGCGCAGGGGTGGCGCTTTTTCTGCGGCCGGCGGATGGCTAACCACAGGCTTGGGGTGAACGTCGCTTTTAGGGGAAGTTCACACACGCCTTGGCGTTGGCAATTCTCGAGACTCCAAGTCGTTCGTTCACAAAGCTTCTTGGACTCCTACCGAGCGACTGATGAGGCCCCACCTGCCCTGCGGGGTTGGAGCGCGCTGGGGAGGACCTGGAAGGCGCAGGTGTGAGGGACGCCCAGGTTAATCCAACACCAACGCTGTGCACGTGAAAAGAACCCGCGAGTTACCGCGCCTGTTCCCGGAACTCAGCCCTTTCCCCTCCCCGCTCCAGTGCTCGCTCTGGATAGGGCCTGGAACCGAACCATCTGCTCACTGCATTGAGAAGGACTTAGCCTAGCTGACAGCTGTATACGTAGAGGGCCGCCCTAGATCCTCCAGAGCGCCAGTTTTCACTACCCGACGCATTTGTTGGAAAGACAGATTTACAGAGAAAAGAAGATACAAAGATCTTCCGTCCGCTGTGTCACCGTCCCCAGCAGTGTGTGTATTGTTATTACTGCACACGTCCTTACCTGCACACCCACAGATTTCCCTTCACATATTTAGACCTACAAGATAGAATCATACCAAATCTATCAAATTACTCCATTCTCCTCTCAAAATTATCCTTTGGAGATAAAGCGCTTGCTCGTTTTTGCTGCTCATTCTTTGACCCGCAAGTTTCTACTTTAATGTTCCTTCAAAGAATAAAGAAAAGGGGAACATCATGCCTAAGGATCTCACCAAATCCCCAAAAGTTTTTAACTTAATCTGCTATTGCTGAATCCTCCCCGAGTTGATTACATCAATGTGTCGATTTATGCTGTCCTTGGCAATATACGGAATTTGGGGATCCCAGTGGATGAGTGCCTGATTCATGCTTGCAAAATCTGTCCTGAAAAAGGCTGGTTGGATCAGCTTGGAGTGGAGGTGGGAAGCAGGGATGGAGAATTACGCAGGGATCAGCGTGCACACACACACAGCTCATCAGCACCAAGGATATGTAGGTGTTTCCCATGTGTGATTTGATAACTGGCATGAGATTATCTAAGCTTCGATGCAGAGCTTTGGGTGGAAGGGGCAAACGGGCCAGCAGTGAGAACCTGCAGGCATCACCAGTTTGATTTCTAGGGTGGAGAAAGAATTGAGTTTACCTTGCTGAGGGAACCCTGCTAAGTGACTGTCCCTGTTCCCTGGTGATGGGTTGGCAGAGGAACCCAGGGGAATGTCCTCAGCAATCAGCTTCACATGCTTATTCAGTAAAACCAACATTCTTTCAGGGTGTGTTCATTCCACTTTTTATAAAGCTTCTGGCCAACACATTCATCTTTTAAAAAGAAAGTTTGGTTAATACAATGTCAGGAAACACTTCAAAAGCAGAATGATGGACTTACGGCTGTTTATGAAGGACTACTCATTGTAATACTAGACAGGAAATCAGTGGGGGAGGAGGGGACTTTGGCCATGGGGTGGGGGAAATCCCAGAGCCTATGAAACTGTATAATAAAATAATAGTAATAATAATTAAAACATTTAAAATTTGGCTAAGACATACGTCATTTAAAAGTAAAACTCCTTCCAAAAAATTCATCGTACTTCCAAGGACAAGGCTGATTTGGAGGCTTCATGGTGTTCTGTGTAGATAGCACAGTGGTAGTGTTATCTTCTATAATTAACTTCAACAACCAAGCACTCACATACATAGATTCACCAATATTTCCACCATGTATAGTAGACAGGTAACTACACTGAAAAGGGAGCTATTATTTCACCCACCGAAATACAATAGATAGCATGGAACAAAGAAGGAAAGTACTCTTGCTAAGGAAAAATAGAAATGTCCTTCCAACATTGATAATACTTAACATAAATGTTCTTATTCAGAGAATACTGCTCATTTCCAGGGAGTAAGGTAACACATTATTTTCTATCATAGTGTCTGGTATATGTGAACTTTAATGTGATAACATCAGACAAACAGAAGACTAAATAGGTCATTTTTATGCTATAATTCCTACTAGAAATAGAGCAACAAAGTTGTTCAAAAATAGATATTTTAAAAATATTTATTGGATTGGAAAGGCAGATTTTCAGAGAGGAGAAGAGACACAAAAGTCTTCCTTCCATTGGTTCATTCCCCAAATGGCCACAATGGCTGGAGCTAAACTGATCCGAAGTCAGGAGCCTGGAGATTCTTCCAGGTCTCCAAAGTGCATGCAGGGTCCCAAGGCTTTGGGCCGTCCTTGACTGCTTTCCCAGGCCACAAGCAGGGAGCTGGATGGGAAGTGGAGCAGCTGGGACACAAACTAGTGCCCATATAAAATGCTGGTACTTGCAAGGTGAAGACTTAGCCACTGAATCATCACACTGGGTCCAAAAATTATGTCTTTTAGAGCCCAGGATGAAATTCTCAGATGTGAAAAAAAATCAGAGAAAGATGCTCTTTAGAGACCATTTTTTATTAAAATTATTTTTCCAGGTTGTATACAAATTGAACTTTTAAATGATTTCCAAATATACTTTCTAAATGATTCTAGAGAGGAAAGGCACAGTGCAGATAGAAGTACAAACCAGCAAAATCACAAGAAGTTTTAAAGATTATTTTGAGCCCAGGAAGTTTTCTCTAACTTCAGAGCATTTCACCATTACAGAATACCAAGTTTGAAGCTTCATTTATTTTCTGTTTACTTTAAGTTGAATTAAGACATTATCACAATATTGTGGAATGTGCAGCATTCTAATAACCAGCTGTATATGATCTGTATCACCACACTGGCGGTTTAACTTGTTCAGGTTAGTTGTTTTAGTGAACTTCAATCAGGATAAAGTGATCCAACACGGGATGAAGGAAATCTTGGTAAAGGCCAACTAACATGGCAAATAAAACCTTAAAAAAAACATAGATATGGGCTTTCGATATATTATTTTGTAAAAGAGAAAACTAGATAGTTATTTTTACTAAGTAATGCTCACAATTTCAAGTGAATAAATTACTACTGAAACAATAGGATTAGGGAAGAAGATGTTTTTAGGAACCTTCTATTTTGAAAGGCTTTCACCAAAAAGGAAATATGGAATAATTTAGTGTATTTAATTTATCTGGAGCACAAATGAGGAAGTAATTTGTTAAAAACAGGGCGTATGTTTTTATTTCTAATTTTAAATTTCCACGTAGGTCTTCAAAGCTTTGAACTGCAAGTACAACTTTAAAGCATCAGCATGACTAATTACAGATGAATAATAATACAGACAGGCTATATCCTAGGAGGCAACTGTAGGCGTTGTAATTGGAAATGAACATTCTGAGATCATGGTAATAACAGTGTAGAAAAATGAAGGTTAAAAAAAACACAATGTCAAGGTGGTGAGAATCTTGCTATCCTGGTGGGATGTGAGTCTAATCTTCTCCTCCACAGAGAGCAAGCAGCACCTTCCTGTAGTCCCCGGATGTGTCACCCTGGAACAAGGCAAAGTCACAGTTACACAAGTGGCTTCTTAACTGGAATATTACACAGTTCAAGCCCCCCTCACCCGCCTCCTGGATGTCACCTGGCCCAGTCCTGGCTGTTGTGACCTTTCAGGGAATAAACCAGTAGAGATCTTTGTGTATCACTTTGCCTTTCAAATAGATAATAATCAATTTTAAAACAAGCCTAACATTGGGGGCTGCAGCACAGTGGATTAAGCTGCCACTTGTGATGCTGGTACCCCATATGGGTGACAGTTTAAGTCCTGGTACTCCATTTCTGATTCAGCTCCCTGATGATGCACCTGGGAAAGCAGTGGAAGATGTCATCCATGTGGGAGAACTAGATACAGCTTCTGGCTCTTGGTTGCAGCCTGGCCCAACCCTGGCTGTGTGACCATTTAGGGAATGAGCCAGCAGATCTTTTTTCTCATGAGGGATGCTACTGATGTAGGCAGCACTTCATGTGCTATGCTACGATTCCAGGCCCTTCATAAACTCTGCGTCTTCTTGTTTGCATGGATGTCAGTTTTTCATCAAAATAAACTTAATTATCTTTAATTCCATTTCCCTCACATATTCTATAACATGGGGTACACATATCCTTCAGAGGAGTGTCTGGGATTAAGTCCCAGCTCTGCTTCTTACTGATGTGCACGCTGGGGCAGCAGATGATGCTTCAGGTACTTGGGTTCCTGCCAGCTGTATGGGAGACCCGGATGGAGTTCCTGCTTCCTGACTTTGGCACAGCTTTGGCTGTTATGGGCATCTGGGCAGAGAACTGGAGAAGGAAGATCTATTTCTCTGTTGCTGTCTCTACCTTTCTACCTTTTGAAGAAATAAATCCTTAAAGGAATAAATGAACTACTGTAAATAACATAAACAATGGGTATGATGAAATCATAGTTTCTGTCTTCACATTTCAAAATTTTATTCAAAATCTTTTTCATAGACTTTTATTGTCAAATATATGAAAATATAAAAGTCACTATTTTAATCATATGAAGTGTTGATATTCATAATATTGTACAGTTATAATCACTGTCTATTTTCGAGCCCTCTTGTCACCCCAGCAGAAGCTTCTCATGCTAAGCAGTGATGTTCCAACCCCCACCTCTTCCTCCAAGCCCTTGGTAACCTCTCATGCTGTGTCTCTCATGAACTTAACTATTCTACATAGCTCATGTAACTGGAACCATAAAATATTTGTCCTGTTAACATTGGGTTTATTTCAGAGTCCATCCATGCATGGAGAATGTCCTTTTCCTTCATGTATGCATGCCACATTTTGCTTATCCATTCATCTGCTGATGGATACTTAGGTTGTTTCTACCTTTTGCCCACTATGATTAACATATCCATTGGTGTGCAAGTATCTGTTTGAATCCCTGCTTTTATTTCATCTAAATACATATCTGGAATTGGAACTGCCTGGTTATGGGATAATTGCCATTATTATATAATATGATAAACTATTTTTGAAGAAATGACAATGTGTTTTTCCACAGCTGTTACGCCGTTTTACATTCCCATCAGACATGTTCTGGGTTGCAAAATCCTTATAAAAACAATTTTTACTAGTTTACAGTCTCACCTTTCCTGGAGGTACTAGGTAAAAAATCATTTGCTTTTATCTGAAAATCATACAATGTTATTTAACTTACCTAATATTTTCTCTTTATTAAAGATTTGAAAGAGTGACACAGAGAGAGAAAGTGGGAGAGACAGAGACCTTTCATCTGCTGGCTCATATCCCGAATGGTTGCAACAGTCTGGATGGGGCCAGGCCAAAAACCAAGAGCTGGGAACTTTATCTGGGCTTCCAGACAGGTGTCAGGGGCTCAAGCACTTGAGCCATCTTCAGCTGCTTTTCCAGCTTTAAAATATTCTTTCCTGGAACTGCAATTTTGTTCACCCCTGAATTATAAAAGTGTCTTACTGATAGCCAGCCATAGTTCAGCTCTGCCAAGCTACAGTCTGTATAGAAACTGTAGTTAGTTCCTGAGTACTGTGTAGACATGTAATAAAACTCTCAACTCAAAGCACCGAATCCGAAGGTTACATCTGTGCTCTGGTGAAAATGATTTAGACTTGGTGCCTGTTTCACAGCATACAACTCCCAACATCCTGGAAATCTTCAAAGAAGGTTTTGTCCATGCCAATGTGATGACTGGTGGCTGGCAGCTGCTAAGGGATTTCAGGATATGAGATGCTCATTACCAAGACCAAGGCAGACAATTAGAGAGTTGAGAGTCCAACCAGCAGTGAAGGGAGTGGGACTAAAGGTCATGTTGAACACAAATGAGCAGTGATTCAGTCAGTCATGCCCAAGTAGTTTCTTAAAACCCAAAATGGCATGATTCCATGAGCTTCCAGATGGTCGCTAGGGAGCCCACAAAGGGCACAGAAATTCCAGTCTTCTCACCGCCCACATCCTATACACCTCACCCTCTGTCTCCTTGTAATAGCCTTTATGATAACCCCTTAAATGTGTTCCCTGGAGTCCTGGGAGCAGTCCCTGAAAAATCCATCAAACCTGGGCCTGGGCCGGGCCCAATACACAATCTGAAGCCCAAGTCAAACAAGCTGCCTGGGAAGAGAGGGACACTCTTGTGGGGACTCAGCCCTCAGCAGGTGAGGTCTGACACTATCTCCAGGCAGACAGTGTCAGAACTGAATGAGAGGGGAGAATGCCCAGCTGGCGTCTGCTGCTGCATGGCTCACGTGGTACAGATGGGCAATCTCATATACACCTGGTAGCAGAAGTGTGTTGTTGGCTGAGAATACACGAGAAAGTGAGTTTGTATGTTTGTGTTCTTGGACATGTCTTCAAGCCAGGAGTAGGATTCAGAATATTTAATTAATAGTTTCAGGTTCATAAGACTCTTCTGGCTTCCTCAAGAAGTAAAATCCCACTAATCAAGGGTTTTGAGGGATGTGAATCATTTCTTGTAACTCCCAGGCCATCTGAGGACTGCTGGGTGTCTGGTGCCAGATAATAACAGTGACCCAGGGTAGGAACTTTGCTCTCCCACCTTGCCAGCACTCAGCGTGCCCTGCACAGCATGCTGATTTCAGCTGCTTATCTTTTGCTGTAATTATGCAGGCAAGGAAACTGTGCATTTGGAAGTATGCATTAGCTCATAATCTGTCTATGTCTGGGGCCAGCATGACGTCATCACTGTCTTAATAAAGCAGGTGTCTCCAACTTCCCATCTGGAGTGACAGTTCCAGTGTTCCCCGAGGGGCTGTAGTGTTGGAAGCTTGGTCTACAGGGCAGGAAGAAGTGAAGGTACCCTTAAAAGCTGCAGGCTGGTGGGAGGAGACTGGGTAATCGGAGCAGGGGGCAGAGCTGACTTCTGCTGGTTGTGGCACTCCCAGCCCGAAAGAGCAATGCTGCCCCCTATCTCACCTGGTGCTCCTCCCTCTTGCCCATTGTCATGCCATCTGTTATGATGTGATAGTCAGGGGCCCCACAAACTGTGACCTTACTTAATCTCTTTTCTACATGAAATACCCAGCCCTGGATATTTTGCTAGAGTCAGGGGAAACAGACTAATAAGCTGGCAAAGGTATAGTCTTGCGATATCTGAAGGAGGCACCATTTTTAAAGGGAATGGTGGATGCTAAGGAAAGGCCCTTGGTGCCCTCCCTGGGTCAAGGCCTGGCTGTCGTGACCTACCTTGATGAATGAGTACAGAGACTTTCCATAGAGCCTCTTGAAGTTGGCCCGGATGTCCAGCATGTCGACCTCCGCGCGCGACACCATCACGCGGATGAGGGTGTTGTCGTCGGTGCCCAAGCCCTAGAGGAGAACAAGCATGCACACAGGGAAGCCTGACTGGTTCCACAGGCATCTTCCTTCCACCTGACAGGGATGGGGAACGTCTGTGGGCCATACAAGCTTATGCACTGATTGACTCTGGCCCTGCCAAGGCAACCACAGGCAGGACTGAAAATTTAATAAATCCACAGCAGGCTCATTTTTAAGTTGATCATTGTGGATGGCCTGTGAATGGTGTGATGAATACCCAAATCCCCCTTGGGAGAGAAAAAAAACCACCCCCCATGCCTGGCAGAACAAGACGCCATGGATGTTTTCCTGGGACCTGCAGAGTATCCCCCATTCTTACCTACACTCCATATTCCAACCAAAGGATGTCACTCTGCATTTCTGGGGACAGACCCTGGGCCATCCAGCCTGCCTGCCACATTTCTAGTAGCTCCTCCCCCTGCAATGTCATGTACCCTCGTCTACCACATCACAACTTCCGGTGTCAAACTTCCTGGCCAGTCTTGCTACCATACACCAAGTTTTTAATATGTTCTTTTCAGATTCCCCTACCACAGAGAAACTACCCCGAAATTTTTGGGGGCGGGGGGTATTAATGTCCTTTCCTCCCTGGTCTGTTAATGTGTGGCTTCCCAGCAACTGTCTATGTTCTTCCATTTTATTATCCTTGGTATTTTGCACATAGCTGCCACTGGCAGCTTAGATGTGCTTTGAGAGCAAGAGTACAACGTGGTCTTTCCTGCATCTCTTGGGGTTCTGGCAAAGGTGCTTGAAAGCATGCAAGACTCGGGTGGGAGCATGGGCTCTGGAGCTAGACTGCCAGCCCCACAGCCTGGAGCCATTATTCCCTCCCCGAGGACCATGAGAATGGCATACCCTCTCCATGCTTCAGTTTCCTCATCTGTAGGAACTACTAATCATAACTACCTTATAAAACTACTGGGAGGTAAAGTTAATCCACACATATAAAGAATTAAAAACAGCGATCCAGGGGCTGGGCTTGTGATGCAGCAGCTAAAGCTGCAGCCTGTGATACTGGCATTCTATATGTGTACCAGTTCATGTCCCAGCTGTTCTATTTCTGAGCCACATCTGCACTAAAGGCCTGGGAAATGTAGTGAGACATGGTCCAAGTGCTTGGGTCCCTGGGTGAAAAGTTCCTGGTTCCTGGCTTTTGGCCTGGCACAGCCCTGGCTGTTGTAGCCATCTGGGGAGTGAATCAGCAGATGGAAGATGTATCTCTCTCTCTCTCCCCTCTAATTCTTTGAAATAAATAAATAGACAAACCAAAACATTCACCCATGCATTGTTAGGTGCTCAGTAAATATTACAGCATCTGTAGGCATTCAATGAAGTAATCAGTGAAATTGAATTGGTTAGTTCAGGTGGAGATTTGCCTGGGGGATATAAGTAAGCATAGGAAAGTGGATCCCAAAATATGTCATAATCGTTCAGAAGCCCCCAAATAAAGCCATTTACCTTCATAGACTTATAAAGTCTTTCAGCAAAATAAGCAGGTGTGTTCCTCACACATTTTACTGCCAAGAGAAAAAAAAAATGAAAAGGTTACAGCGAAGACCTCTATGAAAAGAAAAGTGACAACTGTCCCTTCAGCTTCTACAAAATATCAAGTAATGTCTCCTGATGACCTTGTAGGAGAATCTGTAGCCAAACATTTCCTGAACACAGGTTCTCGCCTGACCATCCTGAGAAGCACTAGGCCATCCAGGAGAGCGAGACCTATGATTTCAATGTCATGGTAACTCCCTTGACTAGTGAAAACAGTCCTTAGTTTTGAGTACTCACAGACTTCCAAGATGCAGCTATTACAGTCCTGTATTTCCCAGGCACTATGATAAACAAGCACAGAGTATACAAAATACACGAACCACAGGGCATGTCAGCAATTAGGCTATGTACATTTCCTGTTTAAAATTCTAACATCCCTCCATGAGTGAGTCTAACAATTTTTAACTCTAGGAGAAAAAAATAATTCTAGATCCCATGACAACAGGCTGACGACAGAGAAGCAAAGTCTACAGACGTCTCTTTCCCTTGCACCCTATCCACCACCAGCTTACCTATAGCCAGCAGGGCATCTTCAAAGCTACCGGATGTTTCTGATTTAATACTCTGCTCGATATCCTTCTGGGATATCCTTTTGTACTCATCAAACACTGCAAACAACAACAGGATGGCATTACCAATAATAACACATTTACCATAATAAAATTCAAGTCTGTGGAGAAATCAGCATCTCCAGGCTCTTCCACTGTTTATTCTTTGCCATATTTTAGGAGGAAACTAATTAGCTGTGTGAATGAGGGGCCAGGAGGAAGACAGCACAGAGGGTGGTCCCACGCAGGGAGGAAGAAAGGCTGTGATTCTTGGAGGGACATCAAGCAAGACCCTTCCCTTCCCCAGGAACCTCTTCCCTCTCCCCTGGAGACATCCTCTGGAGACCTCTGCCTGCTATTCACGTGATTTCCTTCATCAGCAGAATGTATCTTTTTGTGATTTTTGACCTTGGCAGTCACTTACGTATTCCTCTTCCATTTGGCTCATTAAACTAGAGCAATTCAATCTTTTCAAATCCAAGGCACACTGGATAACAGCCAATGCATTTTTTGATAGAGTTTAACATAATTAAATTTTTTTTTTGGCAAGCTGTCTCCTTCTGGAATCTTTTTAGAGCAGATAACTCTTTAGTTCATTCTCTTTACTTTCCTTGGGGTGCTTCCTGGCACCCCCATTAGGGCTGTCAACTAAGGGGCATCCATACACAGCAATGTACAGCAGCATTCCTCCCATACAAGTGAGCAGTCCACCCAGTTGGCACCTATCACACCTGCCCTTTCTGAGAAAAATCCAGGGGTTGGCCCAAAGCTCCAAGTCAGCCTCACCCTTAGAGAACCTACGGAAACCTGAGAAAGCTACCAACTTCCTGGGTGTCACTCCCCGAGGTCCCAATTAAGCTAAACTAAAGTAGGAGTCAGCACTTTTCATGGAAATCACACATCAGATACTCTGCCTTAAAAATTAAATTCATGACTTGCTTCTCCCTTTCTTGGTATCTGCTCTTTCTGAAATTATTCAGCAACTCCTGCCATTCAGGGAGTCATCACTTTCTCATTTCCCCTCTTGTCTCATTTCACAGTATTTCCACTTTTCACACTTGTTATGGAGGCAGCATCTGATGCTTAGCATCAAGGACTCTAAGTGACATACAGTGTAAATTCAGACTTACTCCAATCCACTGTAAAATGTGGAAATAATGATGACTGCATCGATATTATTTGGCTTATTGCAAGAAAGAATGGTTACCATACACTTAGCATTGCACTGAGAAGGTAGAAATTATTCACAAAACTTAGGTTATTATGAACACTATTATTTTCAGTTAAAGAAAATTATTATTTATAATGATAATGAGCATACTATTTTCTCCAAGTGACTTACAAGCAGATATTTTATAATAACTGCCTACTTAGGGCCCGGCGCGGTGGCACAGTGGTTAAGGTCCTCGCCTTGCACGCCCGGGATCCCATGTGGGTGCTGGTTCTATCCCGGCAGCCCCGCTTCCCTTCCAGCTCCCTGCCTGTGGCCCGGGAAAGCAGTCGAGGATGGCCCAAAGCTTTGGGACCCTGCACCCGCGTGGGAGACCCGGAAGAGGCTCCTGGCTTCGGATCAGCATAGCATCGGCCATTGCGCTCACTTAGGGAGTGAATCATCGGATGGAAGATCTTCCTCTCTATCTCTCCTCTCTGTATATCCGCCTTTTCAATAAAAAAAATAATACAAATAAATCTTAAAAAAAAAAAAAAAACTGCCTAGGTAGCCAAAAGGACCCAGAAGTGAAAACTCTTTTTAAAATGTTTTAATGCACTAGGTCAATTTCTGAGGACCTGCAGTTCTGGCAAAATACCACCAGGGGGAGATTTGTATTGTCGTGAGGGAAGGTGATCAATTCAAGAGCTGAGTCAGAAGTTGGTCTGATGACTATAAAAAGTATCCACAAAGTAATCAACTATTTTTTTGGTCACTGTGGAATACACAAAATAATTACAACTTTAGAATGTGTTATACTTTCCAGTTACTTTATATTTTTATTAGCAAATTCATTCTTTTCAAATTTCCCACAGGCTTTGAAAATCTGAGATGGGGAGGCTTGGTGGACTTAAAATAATGATTATGTATATAGAGACACAAAGAGTTTATATAAAATATGAAATATCTTATTAAAACTTTATTGCTCTTTGCAAGAAGAAGCCTGTCAACAAATATTCTGTAATTGCATAGTGTCTTTCCCCAAAAGAAAAGCACATTATAAAGTTTAGAATGATCAGAAACAAATGAGAAGCATTACACATAGGAAATAAAATTTGAAATTATCCTGTATTTATCTTAGGCAGCATAATCCCTAAAGAAATCACTTCTTTTAGCTTTATGGCTTGGAGATAAAACAGGGATAAACAGCAATCAACATTTCTTATTTTACTGCTTCCTGTTGTACTAATGATTATTTTCTTATACAACTTAATTAAAATGAAAGGCTGGGGGCTGCCTCAGAAAGGTGTGGGGGGGGACTGTATGAGGCAGGTGTTTGGTTTAGTGAGGAGACTGTGGTTAAGAGACCCATGTCCCACACAGGAGTACCTGACTTCCACTTCCGGATTCCAGCTTCCTATTAATGCACCTGCTGGCTGGGTTCCTGCTATCCCTGGTGGGAGATCTAGATTGTATCTGTAGCTCCTGGCTTTACTGTGGTCATTTGGGCAATGAACCAACAGACAGGAGTTCTTTCTGTCTCTCAAATAACTTTTTCTTTAAAAGTAAAGATAATGGTTCAAGTGCTCATGTTAGATTCAGAGTTCCAGGTCCAGACCTGGCTGTTGTTGGTATCAGGGGACTCAACCAGCAGATGCAAGAGTTTTTATTTCTCTCTCTCTCTCTCTTTCTCTCTCTCCCTCTCTTTCTCCTTCCCTCTATTTTCCAAGTAGATTAAAGTAAATAAACATTTTTAAAAGTTTAAAGAATGAGAATTTCTTAAAAAAAATCTTAGAAGCAGATATACCAAATTTTAATGGATTCTTTATGTATCTGTTGATTGTTCAATATCCTTCAGAAACTAGCCCTTAGGCCCATCACTGGGCTCATGTGTCCCAGGTGAATCTCTAAGATGGTTCAGAACGGCCAGGTGACTGTAAGTGAAGGGAAAATGTTGCTTCTGCTAGATTTCAGAGAGTTTCTTCTGGCAGTGGAGTCAGGGTCTTACCATGTAACAGATGATTTCGATTCCGAGAACAGAGAACAGTCAGAAATTTCACTTCATCTGTGCCCCATTTCTTCTCTCCAGCCTCATACAGGTCCTGAAGCCAAACAAAGCACAAGTTTAAAGCACCAGAGAGGATGGGCCAGGACACAGGCCAACACTTCCAGAACTTCACAGGGCTGGTGATGGGGTGGAGGCAGTGGTGCTAAGTGGAAAGAACCTGAGATTCTTCCTCAGGCATCATAGCAAAGGATCGTGTGATGTCTTCCTGGGCATCAAGGCTAGGACCCACAGTTCCCTATCTGCACACAGCTTGGTTGGGAAGTCCTAGACTTCGGCTATGCATGCGGTCCGTGGAATTAAATGAATTCAACGTAAATACAGTTTGGGATTCATTTCTTCAATCCCAGCAGGCACACTGCCAGTGGTCAGTGGTTGCACACGGCCAGTTGCTGCTCCTACAGATCAGGGAGACGTAGAATGTTTCCATCACTGTACAAAGTTCCACTGGGCAGGCAGTGCTACTCTGAAATAATCTGTGACTTGTCTGAAGCTGTAGAAATTCTCACAGCCGAGACCCATTGATAATGACTAATATTCCGAGCAGATGCAACTGTAAGAAACTGATCCTGCTTACTTCACATTACAGATCAAACTTGTGCTCATTTTTAGTAGGTAGTCTGTTTTATTTCACTACAGGGTCCTCAGTGAAACATCCCAGCACTACTTGGGGCATGCCTCCATATTCTCCATGTCTTCACTCCTTCCTCTGTCTCCCTCCCTGATTTACAGTCAATTCACAGAAACACAGAACTTTCCAGCTGGGAGAGCTCAGAGTTCACTTAATTCAAAGGGGCTCAACTTGAATCTCAGCAGGTTTGTGATCGCTCACCATGACTTTTTGTGTGCCTCCTTGATGGGATCACCGGGGTGCCCAGATATTCGGTCCAGCTGTATTCTGGGTGTTCGTTGCAGTATCCCAGATGAGACTAAGATTGAGTCCACAGGCTAGGAGAACAGAGCGCTCTCCTAGATAGAGATGGGCTTCATTGGGCCCATTAAAGGCCTCAATAGGACAGACAGGATGACAAAATCAGACTGAGAGGAAATGCCTCTCATCTCATCACCTGGAGCTGGCTTGTCAGCTTTGCTTTATTTTCTTTTGCTTTGTTCCTATTTTCAGAGTGGAACTGGTTCTTTCTGGTTTCAAGCTGGGTGCCCTTTGCATGGCAATTGCATCATCAGCTCTTCTGGTACCCAGGCCTTGACTCAAACTGGATTGAACCCATCAGCTCTCTGGGGTCTCCACTTTGGGGACGCATCCTGCAGATCCTGCTACTTGTCCCCACTTTCACATTCTTGTGAACCAATTCCTCACCATAAATTTCTTTTTTTTTTAGATTTATTTATTTATTGGAAAGTCAGATATACAGAGAGCAGGAGAGACAGAGAGGAAGATCTTCCATCTGATGATTCACTCCCTAAGTGAGCGCAATGGCCGATGCTATGCCAATCTGAAGCCAGGATCCAGGAACTTCTTCAGGGTCTCCCACACGGGTGCAGGATCCCAAGGCTTTGGGCCATCCTCGACTGCTTTCCCAGGCCACAGACAGGGAGCTGAATGGGAAGTGGAGCTGCCGGGATTAGAACTGGCGCCCATATGGGATCCTGGCGCGTTCCAGGCGAGGACTTTAGCCGCTAGGCCACGGCGCCAGGCCCTCACCATAAATTTCTACACACACACACACACACGCATCCCTATACATCCTGCTGGTTCTGTTCCACTGGAAAATCCTGGCCAATACACTGCTCCAATGAAGAAGAGATGATAGAAGTGGCACTGTGATTTTTCTAGGTTGGCTCATCAGTAGTTATGTAGCTTCCATTGGTTGCACTGGAATGTTTGCTTTCAGGGTGTTCCCTTTTGAAACTCAGCCACCAAGCCCCAGGAAGCCCAAGCTACAGACATACTCCCTCTCCTTTCTAATAAAAACAACAGGTTCTTGGGGCCAGCATGGCATAACCTGCTAATCCTCCACCTGTGGCACTGGCTCATGTCCTGGCTGCTCCACTTCTAATCCAGCTCCCTGTTTATGGTCTGGGAAAGCAATGGAGGATGGCCCAAGTCCTTGTCACCCTGCACCCACAGGGAGACCGGGAAGAAGTTCCTGGCTCCCAGCTTTGGATCAGCTCAGCTCTGTCTATTGTGGCCATTTGGAAGTAAATGGAAGATACTCTTTCTGTTTCTTCTTCTCTCTCTGTAAATCACGCTTTTCAAATAAAGATACATCAATCTTAAAAATAACCAAAAAACATTCTTTTCTACATATAGTGTTGTGGTTCATAGCTGTGCAGTGGTTAAGACTGCAGGGCCCAGATGCAAACTGCTTGAGTTCAGAGCCCAGTAACGCTATTTATTAAACATCTGAAATTAAGCACACACACACACACAAAAAGCCTCACTTCTCTAGGTTTCCTGACTGAAGTGGAGATAGGGTTAGTGTAAGGGTTCAATGATACCCTTAAACAACAGCCCTTAAACAACAGTGTTTTGTACCTGACAAGGACCCAGTTTTTCCTACAATTTATTCTATTTATTTGAAAGTCAGAATTAGAAAGAGAGAGAGAGAGAGAGAGATCTTCTATCCACTGGTTCACTCTCCAAATGGCTGCCACATCCAGGGCTCAGCTAAGCCAAAGCAAAGAGCTTAAAACTGCATCTGAATCTCTTGCATGACAGGGACCCAAGCACGTAGGCCAGCTTCTGTTGCTTTCCCAGGCACATTATCATACAGCTGGACAGAAAATGGAGCAACCAAGACTTGAATTGGTACTTATATGGGATGCTGGCATCACAGACACAATGCCAGCCCCAAGGACTCACATTCTATAAGCTCTTATGATTAGTATCACCAAACCACAGCTGCTTAGTTAGGGGCTGTTACTCTGGCAACTGGTAGTGAGCTGAGCACCAGGGAGGCAACTGCCTCTTGAGGTTTGCTGATAAGTTAACCAATGATGCCAAACTACTTTACATAGGTCCCATGAAATGCTCTCTTTTTGGGGAGTGAAAATGTGCAGCAAACAAAGCAACAGCAGGTCGCTTCACCTCCAAGTGACTCACCTCCAAGGGAAACACTCAGAAGTTCTCCGGAGTTGCTACACAAGGGTGATAGAATTATGAACCTTAAAATCCAATGATGTCCAGTGGGTGCTACCCCTGAGCTCCAGTCTCCTCTACATGAAACCATGGGGAAACTTTTTTCGTGATATACTCCAGCCTGGCTAGTATACCCCGAAAGATAAGAGATTGTCCACGAAGCAAGGCCAGCCTTTTTGGCAAAAAGAGATTGGAAGAAAAGAACTGTGGTTGTACTAACCTGGGCGTCTTGTCTCATGAGGTCATCATCCAGGTAATTCCCTTCATCCCTGCCCCCCTAAGGATGAGAACAAGGGTGATGAGAGCAGTGCCACGAAGAGTTCATGCACTGTTCAAAATGAAGGCTGAGAGTCCCTGTGCCCCAGGCGGCATCCAGCGTGTCACTATTACATTGCTGAAAATGCAGCTCCAATCACACATCATCATCACCATTACCACCACCACCACCATCATCAATCATCTGCTCTGCCAGCCCTTTGGGGGCTCCCTACTGAAGTATCCTCTTCTACTGAAGTATCAACTGATCCCAACACAAAATCCCACTTCATCCTCCCACTGTGCTTTGAGAATGACCAGCCCTGCTGTTCAGTTCATGGTTCCCCAAGCACACTATTTCCCACCTCCTTGCCTCGCTTTGGCCAGTTTTCTCATGTGAAATCCACCCACCCCTGTCTCCGCCTCATGGGATCCTAGAAACCCACCAGATTGGCTCACACACCATCTAGGCCACCAAAAGTTTTGTTTACACCCTGAAAGTTTTCCGCTCTGCCCACAAAAGTCTCTCCTGAAGTCTTCCTTTTCCTATGGGCCTCTTCTGTAGCACCTGATCTTTTCAAGCCTCAGAGTAACCCATGGCTATCCACCTGATAGATTCCCTTATGACACTAGAAACCCAGTGCACCTGCACTGCGTCTTACTCATCGCCACCAACTCTCAGAGTACTGAGTAATAGAAATACTGGGCAGGTATAGGGTACTTGTAAATATTGAATGAAAGTAGAACAAATGGGCACACGTGACTAGTCGAATTCTCCCAAGGGAAAGAAAACAACTGAGAGGCTTAAGAACAACATCTTGGGAGTAGCCGCCTGGGGTGGGGGCCTGAGAGGAGGAGAAAGGCTGGCAAGGGCACAGAGCGTGTACGGTTTCCCAAACCCCATCCCCATCAGAAGAAGCAGTGACTCACAGCCGAAAGGGACACCAGCACACGCTGGAACATGAACGACGTGTCAGAGCGAATGTCATCTTCCAGACTCCGGCCATACTCTAGGGAGAGACGGGATTAGCTGCATTAGAATAAAGATTGCAGCCCAGCACTGTGCCACCCTCCAGTCTGCCCTGGCCCTTCTAAGATCAGGAAGATATTTTACAGCCCAAACAGTTTTTCAAAAGCTAAACTGGTGAAAAACAGCCAACATGCATTATCCCAGTGGGAATGAGAGGTTCATGTCCCTTCAAACTGGGTGGCCATCCTGGATTTCTGTGGTTTCCATGGCCCAGTGTCTGTTCTGGATATGGGGTTTAGTAACACCAAGCACAGCAGCCCTGGGGGACCACTGCTCCATCAGACGAGAATCCCACATCGGGGAAGGGAGGAGGAACGGGGCAGTACAGACCCAGCCTAGGCCTCTTCCACCGAATGCCCTCCCCTGCTCCAGGGAGGGGCTGAGGGTCCCCCAGGAGAAACTCAACGGGGTGCTATGGGCAGTGAGCTCCAAACACAGACTTCCAGGGTTAGGATCTCCTGCTTTGAAACCTAGCAGCAAACAACTACTGCCTTTTTTTTTTCCCACAAAACTTGATCACTGTGTTGAGGGGTGAGGGAAGGGATGGGTGATGGAAAGCCTCCAAAATATAACCACCTAACATAATCACTGAGGATATTTTAGTAAATATATTTTATCATGTTTCCCCATATACACATATTATTTCCCTTTCACTAAAAAAACACAGTGTTTTCACTAAAAAAACAGCACACTGTGTTTTGGTTTGTCTTTTCTGCTGATCCACACACTAGATTATTTTATGCAACTGAATAGTATTGTGTGGGTATATCACATTGTGTTTAGCCAATCTGCTGCTGTTAATGTTGTTAGTGTCAACAACACTGAACAAACATCCTTTTATTATATTCTCAGGGCAGAAAGGCAGTATTCTTAAGATTTATTTATTTTTACTGTGAAAGTCAGATTTACAGAGAGGAGGAGAAAGATCTCCCCAAGTGGCCACAACAGTTGGAGCTGAGCTGACCCAAAGTCAGAAGCCAGGAGCCAGGAGCTTTCTCTAGGTCTCCCACACAGGTGTAAGGTCCCAAGGCTTTGGGCCGTCCTCTACTGCTTTCCCAGACCACAAATAGGGAGCTGGATGGGAAGTGGAGCAGCTGGGACACAAACTGGTGACCAGATGGAAGGATATAGTGGCAAGGACTTTAGTCACTAGGCTACAATGCCACGCCTGGCAGTAAGTATTTTTAAACATTATCAACCTCGACAGTTTCTATTGATTGATTGATTGATTGATTGATTGGAAAGGCAGAGTTACATAGAAAGAAGGAGAGTCAAGAGAGAGAGTGAGAGAAAGATCTTCTAGCTGCTCGTTCATTCCCCAAATGGCTGCAACAGCCAGAGCTAGGCTAACTCAAAGTGAGAAGTCAAGAGTCAAGAGCTTCTTTCAAGTCTCCTACCAGGGTGTAGGGGACATTTGCCTCTTCTGCTCCTTTCCCAGGCCATTAGCAGGAAGCTAGATCAGAAGTGGAGCAGCTGGTGCTCAAACCAGCTCCATATGGGATGCCAGCAATGCAGGCTGATGCTTAGTCTTCTATACCACAATGCTGGCCCCTTGCAGTTTCTAACAGGAGAGTAAATGCACACAAATCTGAGCTGGCTGGAGGACAGGCAGTTCAGTCTGAAGGTCACAGTTGGGCCTGATGGCCCTCTGTGGTGTTCCTTAGAGTGCTAAGATTTGCTAGTGCCACTGCTGATGAGCGCACACCTTTGATTCTTGGATTAATAACAAGGGACAACATTCAAGCTTCATTTTCTTTTTTTAAAATATTTGTTTATTTTTATTGGAAAGGTAGATTTACAGAGATGAGAGACAGAGAGGAATATCTTCCATCTACTGGTTTGCTCCCCAAATAGCCATAATGGCCAAGGCTGAGTTGATCTGAAGCCAGGAGCCAGGAGCCAGGAGCTTCTTCTGGGATCTTGCATGTGGCTGCAGGGGCCCAAGGACTTGGGCCCTCCTTGACTGCTTTCCCAGGTCATAAGCAGGGAGGTGGATCAGAAGTGGAGCAGCAGGGACATGAACCAACACCCATATGGGATGCTGGCACTTGAAGGTAGAGGATTAGCCTATTGAACCATGCCAGCCTCCAGCATCCCAACTTTCAGGGCGGCAAAGCACTATGTAGATAGCCTGAGTCTTAAGAAGCCAACCCCAAGAAAATTTTTTTGTTTTCTTTTTCATTTCTTCATTGACACATTGGTTACTTGGTAGCATGTTATATAACTCCATGGTTTTATAAATGTTTTTAACCTTATTTCTGTTTTTGATTTTGTTTTACAGCTTTTCATTTAAGAGAATGTATAGTAACTGTGTAATACAGACTATCATATCCAGATGTGAAGATAGAATGAAGTATGCATTTCTACTTCCAAATCAGAGATGGACTCCCAAGGAAACTGTTGTATGTATCTTGACAATAGGATGCTGGACTCTCCACCACTGTCTGTACCCGCAATGTTTGAATACACTTAAATAGCAGAGCAATGGGCTTATGTCTGCTTATGAAAGACTATACTATTTTAGTAATATGGGAAAATTAGGTTAGGGGAAGGGAGTTTGGGGAGGGGGTAAGGGAATCCCAGAGCCTATGGAATTGTATCATAAAATTAAAACTAAAACAGAAGGAAAAAGAAAAAAGCAGCAGCCAAGCCATGGGTGGATGTTTGAGCAGTTCAGAAACCTGTTGCCATATCAGAGTTCTGGATTTGATATGTTGCCCCAACTTTGGACCCCTGAGACCTGGGAGGCAGCAATGCTGGCTTAGGTATTCAGGTACCTACCACACACATGGGAGATTTGGATTCAGGCTTAGAATCTCAACTCTTGTGGGCACAAGGGGAATGAACCAGCAGATGGGAAACTCTGTCTTTCCCTCTCTCTCTTTCTGGGTGTCTCAATCTGTCTCTCAAATAAATAAACAAACTTTTCCCCCCTAAGATTTCATTTGAACAAAATGAAGCCAACACAAGTGTCTTCCTACAGAAGGATGTGGCTCCAAGCAGAGCTTAGGATGTCCCCATGGACATATATGAAGAGACTGTCAGTGGGTGAACCCCTCACTGCTGGTCTTGTTCCCAGATCACAGTGAAACTTCCGCTGGAGGACGTTACTCACGCTGCTGGTAGGTCTGGTTGATACGCCGGATCTCCTCTGGGGTCCGGGAGGCCAGGATCTCAATCAGGCAGCCCTCATCTGTGCCAGCTCCCTGAAGACAAAACCAGAGGACAGCGCAGGGTGCGCCACTTTACAAAGTCCTGGGCACAGCAGGACCACAGTCCCAAATCCACAAAGAAGAAAGGCAACCACTGGGTTCTGTCAACTGCATTTGTTAACTTTTGGTTGTCTCAGCCCAAACCCAATAGGTCTACAATTGTGTACAGGTGGTTTATTCAGCGCTGGTGACCGTGCCAGGTGTAAACATGCTTCCTGCTTCCTGGGTACTTAATATCTCTTTGCTCTCCTCTGTTTTTTTTCTCGGAAGGTCAGCATCCTCTGGCAGAGACTTTGTTCACTCTTTGCTTTCCCCAGATCCTTCCTCAGGGCTGAGGGCTGCCACGGTACAGAGGGGTAACTGCATTTGCATGTCACACTCTATCACTGAGAACCGGCAGACCCCACCCAGGAAACAGCTCATTACGGAGGCATTTGGCCAGCTAGGTCTATAGCAAACATGCTGCCTGCCATAAAGTCACATTACTGAGTCACAGGATGGAGCCAATGATTCCTAAGATTTCTGAGAACACCTTTTCAACTACAGTTGCTATAATACTTTCAAATTGCCCTGCAGGAGGGAAGATGCTTCTCCAACTCTTTCTCCTCCCCCTCCCACCCCCTCTCTGACATCGGTTGTTACAGTGTCCTGAGAAAGCGCCTTAGTGGCTCCGCACTGACAGCCCCAGGCCAGGGGCCTGAAGACACACCTTCATGGCCTTTCGCAGCTCCTGCACGTCATACAGCAAGGTGGGCGTCATCAACCCTAGGATCACCTGCTCGAAGTTGCCGCTCAGTTCAGACTTCAGGTCATCTATCAGGTCCTGCAATCAAGAGAGGGACTCTGCTGAGTTGCTAGGAACACAAACTCAGCCCCTCACCAGGGTGGGCCAGGGATGTCTGGGACTTCGAGATCCAGCAGGGACCAACAAGCCAAAGCTGCCTTCATAAGCACATCAAAGCACTGCCTGCCTTTTTGCTGTCATTCTTCCTAAGTGCACAGTGGAATATTTCTAAGATGACGGGACAAATCCATGTATGTATGTAATATTAAAATACTATTAAAATATTCACCACTTTTACAACTCTACATCTGTACTTCACCAGATTTTTTTTTTCAAGAATCACAGCACAAACTCATACAACAAACTGAATACAAAAGCAGATATGAAAACCCAGCTGTCTTCTCTTAAGCCTGACATTCAGGAGATTTGCAGAATGTGAAATAACGCCAAACTTCTCACTAAATTGTTTCTGTTGTTTGGCATGTAAAGCTGCTTCTCCTAAAATAAATATAGTAGCATGTAATACTCTCATGATTTTTAAATGAACAAAGACATATTTGCAAATGTCACTTTTAACAAATGTTTATTTATTTTCATATTTTTGAAAGAGAAAAAGAGACAGAAGGAGACAGAGAGACAGAATCTCCCATCCAATATTCACTCTGCAAATACCCACAGCAGCCAGAGCTGACCAGGCCAAGTCCTGGAGCCCAGAATGCCATCTGGGTCTTCCACATGGGCGGCCGTTGTCCAAACACCTGGGCCATCATCTGCTGCCTGCCAGGATGCATCGCCAGGAAGCTCATGGAGTAGCTGGAGCTTGAGCTGGCACTCTGACATGGAATGTGGGTATTGAAGTGGTGGTTTAACCTGCTGTGACACAAAGCCCATACTAAATGTCTTCAGCTTTAATGCTAATATGGCAGCAGTAGGTTAATAGACACCACTTACAACGCATAAAAAGTCCTCGATACTTCAGGGTGGAAACATTGGAGATGTTGGCTTAAATGTATTACTTTCTTAATAATATAACCTGAGTATATTTTCAATGCAGTGATTATGACATTTTAACAGTTAAATTCTATGTATAGAGTTTTCTGAGTTCTATTGAGTTTTCTGTTTCTATATTTCTGCTGTTAGATACACAGTAATATTTAGTTGTATCTTTGTGATTATTCATGACTTATCATAGTCTGATCATTTCTGATGCTAGGAGTTCCACTGCCTACAAGGCTGCCCAAGGCTTACAGGCAGGTGCTCTGGGCAACAGCCGAGCTGGCCCTTCCTGTCTCTGAGAAGTACCTTTGTCTCACTGGATGTAAAGTATTTCAAAGATAAAAACATTTACTATAGAGTTACTATGTAACTGTAAGAGCTGGAGACACTGGTCATGTTTCCTCAATAAAAAAAGTGTATTAATGACCACACAGATGGGCTCTCAGTGATGTGGAAAGATTGGATAGAATTATTCTAATCGGTGAATTATCAAAGATGGAGACTAAAGAGAAGGTTCCTGATGAGGGAGGGAACACCCTCTGAGTGTGTAAGCTACTATTACACCTACATATGACTATGCAGCAGACATAGACCTTCAAGCTACTCCACGTACATTCATATAGCTAATACAGCCACCCATAAACACATAAAGCCCATTCCAGACCTTGGTGGTGTTCCTCATTGTGACTCATCAAAGTATTAAACGTAAGCTACAAATGGGTTTATGTGGATGTGTCAGAATAGACAATAAATCTACTGAAAGCAAACTGGATTTAAATTTTGTAGTCAGTTTAGCAAATTATAACCCATAGTGGCTTAGAAGAAGTCACTGGAGCCTGAGAAGTAGGTCTGGAAACAGCCTGACCCAGTTCTCCAATGGATGGTGGGGCACCCACACAAGGACTTGGAAAGGAAGGGCACTCCAACGATCGAGAGCTCCCACAAGTCACTTGTGGCCAAGTTTAGAGGAGGACACGGGTGTTGTAATCATTTTGCTTTTTCTTTCAAGAAGATCTTTCAATAAGAGCAAGGGTCCTGCTCTTCCAAAGCATGGGGCCAGTGCAGGCAGCTCCATCCAGCAGAGGTCAACCATGTCCCTCTTCAACCCAACCCCCAAGGACAGGAGAACCTGTGCCTACTTTGCCGATGGTGGACTTGTAGGTGGTCCTGATTTCCTGGCGCTGGGCAGTGCTGCGGTAGGCAAGGACTTGAATGATGGCGTCCTCATCGGTGCCTGCGGGCAAGAGTGAGAAGGCGGGAGGCGGTGGGTGAGCACAGTTGAGAGAGGAACCAGACAGTTGCAGTCTACGTGGACACGGCAGTTCTCACAAACACGCTAATTGCTTGCTAAGAGCAGAGGGTCTGCCTGTTTCACGGAGGCGGGAAGGCTGGATGAGCACCTCTGCCTGTTCTTAGAGATTTACCACCACTCAAAATACTGCCCCAACTCTGTAAATGTGAGCCATCCTAGTACTTTCCCTGCAGGCTGTGGCAGGTGTTTTATACAATCACCAAGTGAGTGCAGTGGCGGGCACTCACGACTCAGTCAATGCAGACCAGGACCGTGCTTCCTCCACACTTTATCTTTTGGATCACCTGTCATCTGCCTTGCCCTGCTTGCCTTTTCTCTCAATCATTTCCTCTGAGTTTTGAAACAACTCAAACATGATTTTAATTCTCTGATTTTGCAGTTTAATTGGCAGCTTCCTGCATTCATACAGTTTAAAACATATACTTATTTTTATTGGAAAGGCAGAGTCACAGAGACAGAAAAAGACATTTTCCATTTGTTAGTCTACTCCCCAAATGTCTGCAAAGGCTGGTTCAGAGTCATGATCCAGGAACTTCTTCTGGGTCTCCCATGCTGGGTGCAGGGTCTCAAGGATCAGACCCATCCTCTGCTGCTTTCCCAGGCCATAAGCAAGGAGCTGAATGGGAAGTTGGGCAGCTGGGACTTGAACCAGTGCCTATATGGAATGCTGACACTGAAAGTGAACAATTAGTTTGCTATGCCAACACATTGTCCTTTAAAACTTTTTTTGTTTGTTTTAATAAAAGAAATTTAGTTGGGCCCGGTGGCGTGGCCTAGCTGCTAAAGTCCTCGCCTTGAACGAGCCAGGGTCCCATATGGGCACCAATTCTAATCCCGGCTGCTCCACCGCCCATCCAGCTCCCTGCTTGTAGCCTGGGAAAGCAGTTGAGGACGGCCCAAAGCTTTGGGACCCTGCACCCATGTGGAAGACCCAGAAGAAGTTCCTGGCTTCTGGCTTCGGATCAGTGCAGCACAGGCCGCTGTGGTGGCTTGGGGAGTGAATCATCAGATGGAAGATCTTCCTCTCTTGTCTCTCCTCCTCTCTGTATATCTGACTTTGTAATACAAATAAACAAATCTTTAAAAAAAAAATTAGTCCAAAGTTGAGGGATCATATTGGTGAGAGTCTTGTTGTTGCTGAGGACCCTGCAAAGTTCCAAAAGTGTCTGGGGACATGCTAAAGTAAGACAAAGCAGGCTGTTTCAGAGTATTTTAAAACCTGTAACTGACGGGTAGGCTGGGGTAGGTGAAATGAAAATAGAAAAAAATATCTGTAATTGTGTTTTTCATTTCCAAGTGTGTCTCCCTATCTCAGTTGGTTCCCTTTTTATAACAGCAAGCAAAACCCCATGGCACAGCATCCTATCAAAACAAAGGGACAAGTTATGAAAGCCAGCCTTTTTCTTGGAGCAGCAGCTTTTCCAAGGGGACTTTATTCTGATTTCTCAAATGTGTCCCTCATCTTTGTAGCAGCTGGACATGCATGCACATTTGGTGAGTTTGTACCAAATGAGAAATTGTAGTGGATTACAGAAGTGAGTCTCCTGGTATATTTCTAGGAAAAATGGGAAAAAATAGGTTCACCAGAATTAGAGATGCAAATATATATATATATATATATATATAATAATGTGGGGTATGGAGAGGAAGCTATGAAGTTTAAGTTTATACATCTTTGGAAGCTATTGCCTGCTCTTACGAGGAGAGAGAAACGCCATCCTTTTCTTCTTTGGAATTCTCAACTATGGAAGAAGCTTCTGGGCTCACGACCTTTCGCTCATTTGGTTCTGTGAAAGGCACTACCCCTCCTACCATCGAGCAAGCTTGAACCTCAAAATAGCTTTGATTTTTTTTTATCCTTTCCCTTTGTCCACATCCAAACTTCCTGCCAAATCTTGCTCAGCAGCCTTTTTCTGTTTTCCCCACCTCCATAAATTCCTACCACTTTGATCCAGTTCAGGATTTTGGGGATTCTTCTTCGATAAGCATAAAAGCCCACCCAGCCCATACCCTTTCCTCCTAAGCAGTCTGCCCAGAGTTCTGCCACAAGCCTCTTTCCTAAAAGGAAACTTCTCATGACATGCCTGCCTGGCTCCAAGACCTGCACTGTTTCCCCACCCTGGGCTGGATGGTCCCTGTGCTCGGGGTCTCGATACTTCCTGCCCCGTTCCTGACTGTAAGCAGTGCACGGATGCATAACCAGGCAGCCAAACTCAGTGACGGAGCTCTTGAATTACTGGACTTCACTCAGCCGAGCTGCACTGCCTTCTCCTCCACATTACCAGACTCGGAGGTTTACCTGTTTCCTGAATGCTGCCACATAGCACAGCAGTTCTGGCATTTGCTGTTCCCACTGCCTTTAGGACATTCTCTATGTCTGTGATTCGGCACATGGCATTCTCAGCAGAAGCCCCAGGACCTCCCTTTGGAATCTGCCTACCCCTGCCATGTAAGAGCCTCCTGCTGCAAGCCATTTTTTTCTACAGAGAATGGCCCTCACTCCAGGAGTTCTAATTCTTCGTTAAAGTAAAAACATAATCTGTGCCTTTCCATGCATTTTACCTTGAAAGGCCACCTTGTCCCCACTGTGTGTTTTTTTGTTTGTTTGTTTGTTTTAAGATTTCTTTATTTTACTTGAAAGATTTTCATAGAGAGAGAAGGAGAAATGGAGAGAGAGGTCTTCCATCCAGCACTTCTCTCTCTAAATGGCTGCAATGATCAGAACTGAGCTGATCTGAACCTAGGGTCCAGGAGCTTCTTCTGGGTCTTCCATGTGGGCACAGGGTTCTAAGGCTTTGGGCCGTCCTCTGCTACTCTCCCAGGCTATAATTAAGCAGCTGGATGTGAACTGGAACAGCTGGGACATGAATAGGCACTCTTATTGGATGCCAGTGCTACAGGCAGAGGAATAGCTTGCTATACCATGCTGCCTCCCCATTAGCAACCACTGTGTTTTCTTCAAGGCAACTCCACTTGCAGGTGCCTGTGAACATGGCAGCCTGGGACTCCCTCCAGGGGATACTTACCTAGCCCTTTCATGGCCTTCCTCAGGACCTGGGCATCTTCAGCAGCATTGAATCCTGAAGCGGCCTTGACGGTTCCTCCTTTGGATGCCTGAGGACACAGAGAAGGACTGAGCAAGCCTTGGCTGAGTTCCTCCGTGAGCCAGACATCACTCCAAGTGCTGGGGATCCAGGTGCTGGTGGCTACAAGAAATGAGGCTCTTGCTCCCCATGAGCAAATGTTCTAGTTGGTGGGGGGAATCAGGCACAAATAAATGTTCCCTTAGTGCCTGATGGTGAGAGAGGCTACAAAGCCCACAAGAGGTCCCAGAGCAGCTGCCCTGAGGGTTGAAGCTTGGGCTGGGAGCTGGGTGACATGAAGCTGCAGACCATGGAGAGACAGGGGGCAAGGGTTTCAGGCAAGGAAACTGTTACTACCAGGGTAGATGGGTCAGAGGCCAGGGTGGCCAACTTGGTGGGCAAAGAGGGGAGTGGTAAGAGCAGGTACATCCCCATTTACTAAGTAGCCTATTCCCACCCCCTGAAAAGGGAAAAAATTAGAGTTGGATCAATTAAGCCAATAGAGCTTAAAACCAATTTATAATAAACAGAGAAAGGAAATGTGAAACCATTACAGAGTGTTGCCATTAGCAAAATCAGTACTTAAAAAGTGATCTGTTTGTTCAGAAAGCACATTATGAAGGGAATTTTGAAAAAAGAGAGAGGGAGCTACAGTTATAAGAGATTTTAAAACAAAGCATATTCATGATCATACATGTGAATCTTATTTGGATCCTTAAACAAAAGGACATTTATGAGACAATTGGGAACTTGGACATCAAGTTACTATTTAATGACACTAAGGAACATATAACTATGGTTATGTTTTACTTTTAAGAGGTTTAATATTATACAGATAAACATAGTTTATGGATTAAATGATAAGATGTCTGATTATTTTTCAAATTAACAGAAGTGAGAGAGAAGTAGAGATTAGGAAGAAACAAGATTGATCATGAGTTAATAATTTATGACAGATACACAAAGGAGTTCTGTTTACTTTAATATGTAGTTAAACTTATCTGTAGTAAAAATTCAAAATATAAAAAAAAAATGATAAAGGGGCAGCTGCTGTGGAATAGTGGTTAAGGCACCACTTGGGATGCCGGCTCCATCCTAGGGTGCCTGTGTTTGAGTTGCAGCTCCATTCCACGCCAGCTGCCTGTTAATGTGTACAGTGGGAGGCAACAGGTGATGGTTGAAGTGGTTGACTCATTGGCACCCATGTGGGAGACCAGATGGAGTCCCAGCAGCCTGGCTTCTGCCTATCCCAGCCCTGACTGTTGTAACATTTGGAAGGTAAATTAATGGATCGAAAAGCTCTCCCTTTCTCTCTCTTTTGTGCGTGTGTATACATACACATTATACCTCTCAAATGAACTAAAAAAAAATAAATGATTAAACTTTTATTAAAAAGAAACGCAAAAATGAAAACCAGAGATGTGACAAGGCAGCCTTCCAAGCTGGTTAGGGAGATTGCATCTTATTCTAAGTGCAGTAGAAAGCCACTGACTGGTTTCAAGCAAGAAGATAGGGACATGGGGGCTGATTCACACATTAAAAAGATTACTTAGCCTGCTGTGGGGGAGCTGCAGAGATCAGATGAGAGTCTGGGCCAAGATCTGAGGGTGGGATGCCATGCTAGACAAGGGTGAAGTGATTGCAATGGAAATAAACAGATCCAGAACAAACAAAAGCAATGGAACTTGCTGTTGGACTGCTGTGGGAGCTGAGGAGGGAAAAGCAGCAGCAAGTCTAAGCTCACCGCCTTGAGTGCAGAAGGGGATCATTTGTCTAGTGGGGAGAACTGGAGGCTGACTGCCAGATTTGGGGTGCTGGTGGGGATGGGATTTAGAAGTTCTACTTTCAGAATGTTATGTTTAGAATGGTGGAGCTGTCAAAGGGGTCGTCAGTTATTCAATCCAAAGTCAAGTCCAGATGACCAATGTGGGCTGCACCAGCAATTGGATGGTACTGGTGAGATGGCCTGGGGAGCAGGAGAAGATAAAGAGGACAGGGTCTTGGATGGGACTGGGTCTCTCCGAGGGTCAGGTCCTGCAGAGAAAGAATTACTGAGGAGCAACAGTCTTGGAGGTAAAAGAAAAACCAGGGTAGTGTGTTGTCCAGAGGCTGGGAAGCACCTACCAGGGTAAGAAGCTTACTTGGGAAGAAGAGACCCCAGAGTGGAATGGACCTGGTTTAAATCCTGTCTTTTCAACTGTGTTTCCTAGGCAAGTTTCCTTTTTCCGACTTGTGTTTTGGAACTAATGATATCAACTGAGAGCACTGCGATCATGCAGGATAATATAGGAAAGCACTTAGCATAAAACTCAGAAAAAAAAGTAAAGCAGAAATTCAAACGAGATGGCTATCATCATTAAATATGAATTTGCCCATACCACCATAATAAATACTGTGAGAAGCTCCAATCTGTTATAATATTGTTTAATGTATCTTGTGAGAGTAACGACAAGGAAGAATCTGGAAGACAGCATTTGTACCAGGTGGCGAACACAGTGCAGAATGGAGCTAAAGCATCCTGGCCATTTCATTTGCTCCAAGGAAACACTAAGGGTATTAAAGGGAATGGGGGCTTTCCAGGCCCTTGGGCAAGTTCTCCAGTAAGCCACCTTGACCTGGACTTGTCCGATTCATTATGTCCATATGAAGCTCAGCCAAGTGCTCAGGTACAGCACGCAAGCAGATCCACTCTGCTGAAATAGCATCAGGCTTTCGTGCATTAAGTTAAGCATCCTGCACTCGGTCATCCATCACCCTTTGCACCCTTGACAGAGAAAGAGATCTGTGACATCATCTTCCTTGGATGCTGCTATCCATCCATAAATACACTCCCAGCCCCCTAAATGCATGTTGAAATCCTAAACTACAGGACCACAAAACGTGGCCTTATTTAGGAATGAAGAAAGAATTAGTTCACATGAGTTCACTCTGGAGGGTAGGCTTCTAACCCAATATGACTAGTGTGAAGACAGCCACATGGCGAATACTCTGTGATAACAGAGGTGGACGGCAGTGATGCAGCAGCAAGCTGAGGCACCGCTGAGGTTGTCAGCAAACTTCCAGCAGTCAGCCAGCCAGCAGCAAGGGCGGTGTCTTCAACAAGGTTTGGAGGGAGCCTGGCCCTGCTGACACCTTGATTTTGGCTTCCTGGCCTTCAGAATCATAAGGTAATAAATCCCTATTTTAAGCTGCCTGGTCCACAGTACTTTACAATGACAGTCCCAGAAAAGGAATGCAGCAACTTTGGTGCCTGTCGCTACAACAAGCAAATTGGTGATCTGTTGTCAAAGTTCCAGCATGGCCTTTGGCCCCACCATGAGGCAGCTTTCTAAGTTAAAGGCTTCACAAGGTTGTTTGGAACTCCAGGACTGAAAAAATTCCGGATGGTACTCAAACACTGCATTGAACTTTAAAGCCAATTGCCAAGGGCTTAAACGAGTATCTAACACAACAAAGCAACAGAGACTTGCAGAGCAGTGCAGTCTATCAGGATTTTCAGTGACTCCTTCTTTTTTTTTTTTTTTTTTTCTTTTCTTAGGTTTATTTATTCTTACTGGAAAGGTAGATTTACAGAAGGAAGCAGAGACAGAAAGATCTTTTATCAGTTGGCTCCTCCCCAAGTAGCTGCAAAGACCGGTGCTAAACCAACCTAAAGCCAGGAGCCTCTTCTGGGTTTCCCACATGGGTGCAGGGTCCCAAGGGTTTGAGCCATCCTCTACTGCTTTTCCAGGCCACAAGCAGGGAGCTGGATGGGAAGTGCAGCAGCTGAGACATGAGCCAGTGCCTATATGGGAGCCCAGAACATGCAAGCTGAAGGCACTGGCCACTAGGTTATCATGCAGGGCTCTCCTTCCTTACTTACTTCTTTCCTTCCTTCTATCTTCCCTTCTTCCCTCCTCCCCTTTTTTATTACTCTCTCTCCGTCTCTCCCTTCCTTCCTTACTCCCTCTTTTCCTCCCTCCCTCCCTTCTTTCCTTTTTTTTCAACATTTCTTTTTCATTTATTTAAAAGGCAGAGTTATACAGAGAGAGGGAAAGATCTTCTATTTTTTGGCTCACTTCCCAAATGGCTCACTTCCCAAATGGCTACAATAGTTTGGGCTGTGACAGGCCAAAGCCAGGAGCCTAAAGCTTCATCTGGGTCTTCGCTATGGGTGCAAGGATGAAGAACCTGAGCCATTCTCCTCTGTTTTCCCAGGAGCACTAGCAGGGAGCTGAATTGGAAGTAGAACAGCTGGGACTTGAATCAGTGTCCATATGGGATGCTGGCATCACAAGTAGTAGCTTAACATGCTAATGCCACATGCTAGCCCCCTTCGTGCTTGTTTCTTTTCCAGGAGAGATGTCAAGAAATGTTAATCCTATAAACCTCACATTGATTAAATTACAAAGCATAAACTACTATCATCCATTCTACAAACATAACATAAAACATTCTATCCCAGGAAGGTCCATTCCGGTGAGGCAAAATAAGCAGAGAGGATGTGGAAAAGGATGACAAAAATGAAAAACTATATCACAATTGATGAAATATCATTGTTATATAATAATGAGGAGGATAAATGTCAGAAAGACTGAATTGTAATCCACTGGGTTGCAACAGCCAGGGATGGGCCCGGCCAAATCCGGGAGCCAGAAACGCTACCTGGGTCTCCCATGAGAGTAGCAGGAGTCAGCACCTGGGCCTCTTCCGCTTTCCTAGGTGCACTGGCAGAGAGCAGGGTAGGAAGTGAAGCAGACAGGATTTGAACTGGCACCCACATGGGAGGCCACTGTCACAGCTGGCGACTTAATGAGCTATACCATAATGCCAGCCCCATATCAGCATTTTCCTAAACTAAGGGGATGATTTAAAAAAAAATCAGAACATATTACCATTCTCATCACTGCTTTTTAAAATCTTTGTAGGGTCTATAACAAAATGATGAAAATAATTGACATTGTGGCCATGTCAGAAGATCTCGTGACTCTTTTAGAGTTTATCTGAGTGAAGCTGAAGATCTTTTCATTTGATTTTTGTTTATAGCATCACCTATTTTCCTGCTAAGGATTCTGATCTTTCTCCTTTAGCCTTTAACTATAATGTAATTTTAAAATGTTATATGAAAAAAATTTAAAAGATAGTAAGTTAAAAAAAGCAAAGAAAAGAAGGAAGACTAGGGGTCCAGTGCAGTAGCCTAATGGCTAAAATCCTTATCTTGAACACACCAGGATCCCATATGGGCACTGGTTCTAATCCCAGCAGCCTACTTCCCATCCAGCTCCCTGCCTGTGGCCTGGGAAAGCACTCAAGGATGACCCAAGGCCTTGGGACCCTGCACCTACATAGGAGACACAGAAGAGCTTCTGGTTCCTGGCTTCAGATGGGCTCAGCTCCGGCCATTGCAGTCACTTGGGGAATAAATCATCAGACAGAAGATCTTTCTCTCTGTCTCTCCTCCTCTCTCAAAATATCTGACTTTGCAATAAAAATAAATCTTCAAAAAAGAAGAAAATGATTTTAAATAAAGCATAAGAGATTTCAGTTAGATCTGAATAAGTTTTGAAAATTTAAAATGTTTAATGTAAAAAAAAAAGTATATGACTGGTGTTCTGGTGCAGTGGTAGCATCCCATGGGGTGCTGGTTTGTGCTCTGGCTGTTCTACCTCTGACCCGGCTCCCTGCCTGCGACTTGCGAAGAGCAGCAGAAGAGGGCTCAAGTGTTTGGGTCCCTGCTATCTATGCAGGAGACCAAAGTGAAGCTCCCGGCTCCTGGCTTTGGCCTGGTCTAACCCTGGCTGATGTGGCCATCTGGGAAACGAACTAGTAGATGAAAGAGTTCTCTCTTGCCCCTCTCTTGCCCTCCCTCCCTCTTTCTCCTTTTCTCTGTAGCTCTTTCAAATAAATAAATAAGCATCTTTTAAAAAAAGAGCATGCTGCTCTTCATTCAGTATAATTTGCACAGCCATCTTCCAAAAGGAACCTGTCTACAGTTGGCAAGATGGCCACTTTGCCAGGTACCAGGCTTCCCTGCCGATATTCCCTCCCTGGAGAGTGGGGACAGGAGTCCACTGCTTATCCAGTAGCCTCTGGGGAGAGGAAGAGAGCAGACGGCCAGCCTCAGGGGAGCTGTGCTGGCACCCAGGAAGCTCGGCTCCCACCTCCGCACAGAGCTCTCAGAGGGATCCAATTTCATACTCATCACAAAGATCCGATGAGATCTGAGACTCCAGATCCCAGAGGAAGGCAAAAGGCGGAGGAGGAGCCTGTGATGTCAGGTTTAACGAGGCTGACATGGCGGGCCATTCCGAAATGTCCCCAGCAGCCACCTCTTGGGGCAGAAGCCACAGGAGCAGGAATTCTTTGTTTTATTAGTCTAAATGTTCTAAAAGAAACAAATAGCTTTCTGCAGAGTCAAAACTATAACTTCTTTCCATGTTCTCAGGATGTTAAAAGGATTTCAAGGATTTTTCTCTTTGAAATCATTTTCAGGGTCGAATTTCTTACTACCCATGAAAGAAATTAGAACAGTGCAGTGAGGGGGACCGTGCAGGGGGTGAGGGGAGAACCTGCCTTTGTCACATCTGCTCCCCACCCCAGCCACCTTCCATCCACTGCTAAGCAAACAGTCCTTTGTTTAAACCAACAGTCCCTGAGTACACATCCTGTGCCTGTCTGCACCTGGCACCAGGGAGGGTGAGGCAACCCATGACTTACCATGGCCATGATGTTATCCCAAAGTCAGAGTTCAGCCGCCTGAGCAGAAGATCCTACAAACAAAGCAGAGGGGAAATTACTGGTTGCAGGAAGTGGCCTTAAAATCATTCATCAGGATATCTTGCAGTTTGCATGAAGTTAAGAAATAACACACAGCTATTGATTAGCTAAAGAAATAAGGACCAGGTTAATCATTAGTGAGAAATTATTACAACAGTCAAATTTATCATATCAGTGAAACACTCTCCCACTTGCTTTTCTGTCTGAAGATACACCCTACAGAAAGGATTCCTATTGCTTTGTTGGGTACTCCCTCCAGACATGGATTCTGAAGGATTTGCTGTATGGGTCTCTGGAGAGAAGAGCCAGGTCATGTGTGTATTTTTGGGTGTACGTGGGTGCATAGACAGGCTGCAAGCCCAGTCAACATTGGAACGGCTTCCTTTCCCAGTGACTACATTGTCAGGATTCTTTGCTTCTTCCCTTTAAGCTGTAACCATGCACACTCAGCTTTGTTTTCAGCCTCCAGCACTGCCCCTGTTGCATCAAGAAGACTGGAATCATCACAAAGATTCTTTCCCAATTACTCAGAATGCAAGAATTTTTTGATTAAGATTTTATTTATTTTTATTGAAAAGGAAGATTTTCAGAGACAGATCTTCCATCTGCTAGTTCACTCCCTAAGTGGGCTGCAATGCCCAGAGCTGAGCTGGCCTGAGCCAGGAACCAGCAGTTTCTTGGGGATCTCCATGCAGGTGCAGGTACCAAGGCTTTGGGCCATCCTCTACTGCTTTCCCAAGTCACAAACAGGGAGCTGGATGGGAAGAGGAGCAGTCTGGACACAAACCGGCACCTACATGGGACCCCAGCACTGGCAAAGCAAGGACTTAACCACCAAGCCATTGCACTGGACCTGCAAGAGATATTTTCATTGTACACCAGGACTCCTGTGGGATCTTCATCATACCCAGCATGTGCAGGGCAAGGCAAGGGGGCCTCCTCTTCCCAGATTGAAGTCATACAGAAGAGGCTCCTTTTTGAGCAGTTAGTTAGATCAATGATTCTCAAAGAGCTGTCCTAGAACTGGAAGTGCGGGCAGCCCTGGGAGCTTGACAACAGTGCCTAATCTCAGGCCCCATCAGAGCCCCACTACCAGAGCCCACATCTGAACAAAGTTCCCCAAATATCTATGTGCTCAGCAGTTTGAAAAGCACTGGTCTAGACAATGCAATCAACTGGGGCTTTTCAGTGATAACGAGGTACTACATAACCCACTTTATTAGCACTTAAGCCAGGCAGGTCACAGTCACCTCTCCTCTTCCAGCCATCCACAGGCCTTGCTCTTTCTTGTTGGTTTCCCACCCTTCACTGCAGACTGACCTCTCGTGCCACACAGACACATTTCCTGCACAAAGAGAAAACCAACTGGTTCTAGGACGAGGTCTGAGCAGAGTGGGGAATAAGCAGCCGACACAGGGACCAAGAGGAGATGAGGCCCCAGGAGTTGAAGTCTCACACCAGAGAAGGCTCAGAGACACAGTTGGGAAAGCTGGGAAGAACCAATGGGAAGAGCCATGAGGACTTGTCAGAGCAGTCCAGCTTTATACTAAGAAATGGCACACAGTGGGAAGTGCTTTGTTATTTGCAGAGAAGAGTTATATAACAAAAGACATACTCTACCAAGGTTCTGTACTATCGGGTAGATCAGACTGAGGGAGACTTGTTGAGAGACAACAAGTCAGAAGGCACCACAGGCACAGACAAAGTAGAGGCGGCAAGCAGCACCTGGGATAGAACATATACGAGAGCTCTGGAACTTGATATTATTGCATACAGCAGCTCAGGCTGCTAGAGATGTATTCATTCAATCACCAAATAGTCAAAAAGCATGGCCATAGCCCGGCCATTATTTTAGTTGACAGAGATAATTGCTTTGAAAAGAAGATAACGTACAAGAACAAGCTGCTTCTTGCTATAACAGCAGAAATAGATGTGACAGAGATCATGTGGCCCATAAGGCCGAAAGTATTTACTATCTGCCACCTCATGTGATCAGCTTGCCAGATAGGCGCTGACTGGACAGCATGACCACGAAGGCCCCTCTGAGATGACGGCTGGGCTAAGCCCTGAGTGAAGGGATGGGGCCAGCCAGAGTTTTGCAGGGGAACGCTTTCAGGCAGAGGAGTATTAGTGCAAAGGTCCTGGGACACAGATGAGCTTGCTCTTTGACGGTTGGACCAAAGCTTGATGAACAACAGCAAGAGCAGCATGAGTAAGGCTAGGTGACATTGTGACTTAGAACAAGAAACATATGGTTGGTCTTTGTCCTAGCCCTGGCACAGGACAACCCTGTGGAATTCCCTAGTGAGAAGAGCAATGAGGGTGAGAGGAGTGTCGTTATCTGTAACAAAGCCTCTTACAGCTACACCTGAGTGATGCTAAGGAAGTGACTCTGGAAAAGTCCCTAAGTAAACCGTTTTCTTGAGTTCTGTGAAACAGCCTAGCAAATGATTAAACATGGGGAGAAGCTGTGTGAACCTCAGATATTCACAATCAGCTGATCAGAAGCAAGGACGAGAGCATTGACATGGGATTGGCATGTGACATCAGGCAGTGTTGTGGGACTGAGCCCCTCACTGTGTGGTACGACACTAACTCCAGGGAGGTAGCATGCGAATGAAGTTAAATCGCAGGACACCCCATAGGTATCTGTGGAGAACTGGAGAGTTGTCTGCAGTGGGGAAGTCCCCACACATGTGGTTGTGGAGGCTCAGTCTGGTGCTTTGGCTTGCTGAGTGATTCAAAGTAAAGGAAGTTAGAAGGCCTTTTTGGCAGCATCCGGCCCAGATTTCACCTTCTCCCGCCCTTATGTCTCATCCCCTCCTTTTCCCAGGAAGTCAGTCGTAGATACCAGGAATCCTCTTGCCCAAGGTATGTTAAAGAAGCTGAAGCCCCTCTCCTCCAAAGCCTCAAGGCCTGGAAGCACAGCTTTCACCTGCCTTCATTCTTCTGTACAGCAGCTAGTCCTAAAGAAATTCTCTGAGCGCTTGGACTCTGATACTAGCGGGTCACAAGATACCCACTCCAAAGGAGTACTAGGTACTAGTGGGCACTTGGGAGAAAGAAATTCTACAGAGAGGCCAAGAGGAATCTGGACAAACAGGCCTTGCTGGATTCCACCCCGCCCCCTTGTCCCTTACCGTTGGGCATACCTCTCTGTCAACCACATTTCCACCCAACCGGCCATTCTTCATGGAGCCTAAGAATCAAAACAGTTTTCTCTGGGACTTTGGGCTTTCCTTTCAGGGCTTCCATGTCACATAAAACTACTTGGATTGAGTAAATTTGTTTTTTTCTCTTGCTCATCTGTCTTTCATTACAGAAGCGAAGGCTGTAACCCTTAGCACGAGTAAGGAAAAGCATGACACCTTTCTGCCTACGTGTTGCCAGAAGTGACAAGTCCAGAGTACACTTCATACTTCCGTAGCCTACAAGTAGGGTTTGGGCTAGAGCTTCTGAAGCTTCCCTGGGGATCTCCAGAAGATAGGTTCTTGGGCTCCCCACAGATACTGAAATCCGAGGCTGCTCAAGTTCCAGATAGGTAGAAGGGTATACTTGCAGGAGTATTTTTCTATAATTGATGCACATTCTTTCAGGAACATTTTCAATCCCTACACAGTGGAAACGTTACTGACTACATCCTCCTTTTCACAATCTAACCCTGTGACCAGCCACACATTTGCAACCATAACGTAGGTCTTCCTTTCCTTTTCATGTTTTGCTTAACAAATGCTAACTGCTACTCTTGTGGCTGCTCAGATTGTTTCTTCAACACATGTGGACCTCAGCAGGAGCTGACTGCAAGGAGAAGCTGGAACAGCAGACCCCAGAGAAGGGAGGCGTCTACACCCACCAGTCCAAAACAGCCAAGCTTCATTTCCAAGAAGCCCCAGCTAACAGGGGTCAGTAGGATCCTGGAAACCTCTGGAACCAATTTCCCTAACCACTCCCCACTCTCCCTTCTCCTTTAAAAATCCTCCTTTTAACTTACAAATCTTCTAGTTTCTGGAATAAAACCTGTTCTGTTGCATCAACTCATCTCTGGTGAATTGGTTGTCTAGCATCAAAGAACATGGGCCTGATTTCAACCAATGCCAGAAATTCTGTGTGAATAGCTTCTCTACTGTGTTATTTGTGGAAAAAAGAGAAAGTGAAAACATGTGTATATGTTCAGTATAGGTGAAATTTTAATAAAAACAATTTAAGAGCCAGTGCCTGTTAGCATCAGCATCACAAATGGGTATCGGTTTGGACCCCAGCTGCTGTGCTTCCCATCAGCTCCCTGCTTACAGCCTGGGAAAGCAATGGAGGATGGCTCAAGTTCTTGGGCTCCTGTATCCATGTTGGATCAGCTCAGCTCCTACCCCTGTGGCCATTTAGAGGGTGAACTAATGGATAGAAAATCTTCCTGTCTCTACTTCTCTCTGTAAATCTGCCTTTTGAATAAAAACAAATAAATCTTAAATAAATATATATATACATATATATTTAAAAGTTAGCATTACAGAGAGAGAATAAGCATCTGCTGGTTGACTTTCCACATTGCTACAAGGTTGGGGCTGGGACTGGGCCAGGTCAAAGCCAGGAGGCTCGAACTATGCATTGGGTAAGAGGACTTACTTAGGCACATTGGCAGGGAGCTGGAACAGAAGTGGAGCATCTGGGACTCGAACCAGTGCCTACATAGGATTCTGGTACTGCAGGCAGAGACTTAATCTGATGCAAGTCAATGCTTATTCCCAAAATTTAACCTTCCTAAAAAACATATTTAGTTGGTTGGATCTCTGGAGTCAACAAGAATATGGACAGCTGATTGCATGAAGAAAAAGCTTGCTTCTCCTATACAATCAATACCAGAAATGGGATTAGTTAGAATGCCCCTGGCTCACAAATCATGCTGCTCAGTAAGGAAAAAGAGAGGATTGGGAACTAGAAGCCTTTGGTTCCTGGGTGATCACCCATAATGTAAAACAGCTGCTGTGCTGAGATGGGA